GATATGTTGTCACTGTTTATCAGGGGAGTCAAATAATAAAAAAGAAATAAAGTATTCCTAAAAGAAATGAAAAGAACATACATAAAGCAATAAGCAAAACCTCCAAATCACAGGCTACAAATTAAAAACTTAAAAAAAAAAAACCCACTAAAAACTGAAAGTATAACATGATAGAACTAAGAATGTACCTATAATCTCAATAAATGTAAATGGACTAATCTCATCTGTCTAAAAAAAGGCTAAGTAAGATTCAGTCTCAGAACTAAGCCTAACTACATGCCATTAACAGAAGATACATCTATGGTTTCATATTAAAAGATAATCAAAGACATACCTGACAAATGAAAAAAGTGACAGCAGGAGACTCCACTTTAGTTTTAAACCAGCTTGGATTCAGAGCCAGGAGCATTAAATGAATCCAAGAAAGGCACTTTAAAGTAGCAGAAAATAAAAAAAAAGTAGAAAACAGAATTCATAGTGAAAACACAAAACTGAAAATCATAGCACAAAATTACCAAAACAGAAACGACAGGCACTATATTAGGACTTGTTATAATCCATCTAAGTCCAACTCACATCAAATGGACCTAAATCAATACAGACAGAGAAGATCTAAATAACGTGATTAATTAAGTAGATCTAATTAAAGTTATTAAACTCTTTAAACAGACAGTAGCCCTACTTTTTAAATGACCAAAGAATATTAATAAAATTGCTTATATACTCAGTATAAAAAGTATTAATATTATACATATTGTTTTTGAATGGAAAGAGTACAGACAACATTTTTTGATCCCAAGGCAATTAAAGTCAACACTGATGAGTAAAATAGGAAACAAACATAAAGGTCCCTATTCACCAGAAAATTTCAAAGACCTCCTCCTCAAATAATTCTTGGGTCAAAGAGGAAATCAAAACCAAGTTGCAGTATCTCTACATAAAAACTACAACAAAAGCACCATACACCAGAGCCTGTAAGACGTAATGGGAATGATGTTCAAAGAACAGTTCATAGCCTTGAAATATTTGTATTAATAAATAAGAAAAAAGAAGGAAAACAAATGCATTTAGGAAGGAAATGACAATAAAATAAACCAAAGAAGGAAGGAATGAATAAAGATAGACACAGAACTGATAAACTATAAAACAGAATACAAAAACAAGTAAATCTGAGAGCTCCTTCTTTGGGAAAAAACACAAAAATCTTAACAGTTAATTAGAAGGAAAAAATGGGGAACAGGGAAGGAGGAAACATACATACTGTATTTTGCCATCTATAATGTGCACTCTTTTGCCCAATTTTGAGGGAAAACTAAGGATGCACATAATCTGGGTAGTACCTGAAATACCTTGTCTCTGCTCTTGTGTTTTGTAATCATTTGTTACATAAAATTTCTTGTACCATAATACGTTCACAAATAAATGCTAAAATTCCTTTATAATACAAAAAACAAGTATCTAAATATAAATACATACATACAAAATTGAATTAAAAAATTAAAACAACAGATTTTTTTTCCCTGAAAGTCTGGGCCAAAAACATGAGTGCGCATTATACGTGGCAAAGTATGGCACTAACTAGTCATTGAAAAGAGTGAGGTAACTATATGCATGGGTATAATCTGACATCTAATATTAAATTTAAAAAATAGAGAATAGCTTATCATTTGTACTTAACAGCCAGAGCGTCCACGCAGGCACAAGTTCTGGCCAATGTGCAGAATAACAGCAAAAGAACCGCCCCGGTGCCAGGGCTCCATTCTGGGCAGGCGCCATGAGGATGGGAGTGGCAGGGTGACTTGTTTTTTGAAAAAAACTAATTAAAAATGCCCTGGCTGGTGTGGCTTAGTGGACTGAGTGCCAGCCTGCAGACCAAAAAGTCACTGGTTCGATTCCCAGTCTGGGCACATGCCTGGGTTGAGGGCCAGATCCCCAACTGGGGGCATGTGAGAAGCAACCAATCTATGTTTCTTTTGCATATAGATGTTTCTCTCCTCTTTCTCCCTTCCTTCCCCTCTCTCTAAAAAGAAATAATAAAGTCTTTTTAAAAAAACTAATTAAAAAGATTTTGAATTTTGTAGCATTCAATGTATTATTTGTTAAAAAGCTAGTCGTTATACATAAATTTTAATCATTTAGTGTCTTTAAAGCTACTTAGAACTTTGGATACTTCTTTTGTGATTAGAGAGGGGAAAGAGTTCAATGCACAATCTTTAAAAAAAAAAAAAAGATCCAACTTTTATCATCGACAGGGAGCCTCCTTTTACATTTGGGAAGTGCTCTATCTTCTTCGAAGCACTAGAGCATACCGTCTCTTACCCGATCCTGGTCAGAACAGTGCAAAGAAGCTGGGCAGCTGAGGGCTACAGGTGAGGGGCAGCTGAGGGCAGCTTAGCGCTACAGGTGAGGACCCCAGGGCTCAGAGATGTTGGGTAACATATCGGCCCACCTGGCTCCTAAGGGAGGGCCTCTTTCTGCTGGTCTAGACTTCCAGAATCTAGGACCGGGGGATTTTACTTTCGGGTTGTATCTGGTGATGTCACGAAGAGATAAAATAGCATCTCTGCCACACGCTGGGGACTAAAGAACTCCAGAAACCTCAGTTCAGGTCTGCTTCGTCACAGAAGAGAGTGAATGACAGGCCTTCATCCTTTGTTACGGGCTGAACGGTGTCCCTCAAAATGTACCTGTGGACGTCCTGACCCTCCAATACTTCGGAATGCAACTGTATTCGGAGACAGGGTCCTTTAGGTTAAAAGGAAGTCATACTGGTGGGCCCCAATCCAATAATGACAGGTGTCCTTGTAAGAGAAGATTAGGACACAGACACACTGAGAGGAAAAACGATGTAAAGACACGGAGTGCCAGCCATGTATAAGCCAAGGAGAGCGGCCTCCAGCTTCCAGAGCGTGAAGAAAGAAATTTATTGTTTAATCAACTTATCCATGGCACTTTGTTATTGTAGCCCTAGAAAATTAACGTACCCTTCCACTTTACGTCTCCAAAATGTACGTTCTCTACAATGTCATGGTCTCATAAGACGGTCCACTGGAGAGTGATTCCGCGCCCGCACCGACATTTTCTCTGGAGCAACTATGTGCTCCAGAAAGTGTGACTTAGAGGTTAACTTTTCCCAGATGTTGAGTTTTCTTTTCAAACAAATGAATTCTAATCTGTTAGAGTGAAAAGCTCGCTGATTTAGCTAATAATCCTCTTGGTATTACAGTTTTAAACGATGCACTGATAGTGGATGCTTGCACATTTAGTTGACAGTCTGGCGGTTTGTTCTCTCAAGAGGACCAAACATACACAGAAATAATGCCAAGATGTTCGACTGGGATGAAAATCAAGATAAATATTTCCTCATGTCTTTTTGTGGGGGTGACCTGAGCCAGTGTAGGACTGACATCCAAGAGTCAGGATCTGCCACCATGGAAACTTGAGAGACTGGTTCCACCTTAGAAGCCACAAGAGACAAGGGGCAGCCTTTTCAAACTGGTCACAGTACGCAGAACCCAGGGCAGCTGCCGACAATTCCCTGCTGCTCTCCACTGACCGGCTCTGTGACCCAATCTCCTCATCCATGAAGTGGGATAAGAAAGAACCACCGTGTGGATTAAGTGGAATCGTGCATGTGAGAACCATGTGAAATAAATCGTCAAGAACTACACAAATGTCATTTACCATCAATACTGTTAAATTAGGTCTAAGATTACTGGACCAGGAATCAGGAGATTCCTAATTCTACAACCTATGTGCTTTTCTCTATGTATGCTACACTTGAATTAAAACATTTACCCAAACAACAGATTTCTATTGATAATTCTGTGTTTGCTACAAACTAGGGTAGTTTGCATATATATATATATGGCACCACTTTCCTTCTAAGGGGCCTTAGTTTTCTCATTTGTAAAATAAGAGTGTTGAACTATATTATCTGGGCCTATCTAAAATTCTATCACCTTTTCTCATTACTTAACACCTTGATAATATATAACAAATTTTCCAAATGGAGACTCTGATGCTTAGGCAGGGACATACCTTTTTGATGTAAAATGCCTGACATCAAAGAACAAAAGGGTTTGTGAGACTAGATTATACAGGGAATCCCAAAGGATCAATCGAGTCTTATGAGGGAAGCTTTGACTGGGAGACAATGTCGTAAATGAAGGCACTGTGAATTTCAGGAATTAAAAATAACAGTGTTCCAAGCGTAGCTTCCCCACATTCACATGCACTGTAGGTACTTGGGAAAAGTTCAGAACACAGACTTCGTCACCCGTAAACCTAAGGCTTAACTCCAATTCTGCCGATGATCCAGCTAGCGACAAAACCCCGGGCAACTTCCTTTCCTCCTCAAAGTCTCAGCCTCTCAAATGGGCACAATAGCAGAACCTGGTACCACAGTGCACAGCACACAAGTGTCAGGGTCTCCCCCTCCTTGCTCATCGTAGTAATTGGTCACCGAAGAAACTGAGTATCTCTGCTCTTCTCCATTTTTCCCTTAATACTGTCAACGATTAGAGCATGCCTACCATTTCCCTGGTAGATCTTTCTAGACCCAGTGAACAATAGTCCGCGTTTTTGTCCCCCAAACTTGTCAATTTCCCAGAGGTACCTTGACAGCATTTGCATCTCAAATGTGCCAAGCACCAATGAGAATGAAAGGCAACAGATCTGTAGAATGTGAGTGTTCTGCGCTGTATGACACTCTGCGCCCAAGGAGTCCAAGGGTACGAAAAGCCCAATCCGAAATCTCTCTCTCAGGCACATGTGAGCACGCACACAGCCCACACCCCTCCCCGACCACGTCTGCCGCTTCTCAGCAGACCTGACTTCAACCTGGGACGTGTTGTTAAGACCCAGCCATGAAGCTGTGTCTCTGGAGGCTTATAATTGAAAAGGGCACAGAGTACTCGTTACTGTAGCCTGTGGTGCCAGAGTGCGAGGAGGGAACCGTGGAGACGAACGCTAATTACAGCTCCCCGCGGTGCACTCACCTGTTTGGCTGTTTCGGTGAGGGCAGCAGCTTCTGCCTTGCCCAGTTGTTGTACCATCTTGTAAAAGAGGCTCTCTTTATTCTGCAGCAAAACATAGGGCTCATCATATTCCTTCAGTCTTCCTGAATCCAAAACCTGTTCATCAGCAGAAAGGACCCATTAGCACACAATGTTTGGCAGTAACATATTATAACTCAGACAATATTTCGGAAAGGGGCAGGAGAGGGAGAATAGAGAGAATCTATTTGGGTGGTAGGCCTGGCGGGTGTTTAAATGGTTTGATTACCCTGTTTTACTAGGCAGACAAAGGCCTGACCCGACCTTTTATTATTATAATGTTATAGGAAAGGGAGAAACTGAGAGTTTCAGGCTATGATTACCTGCACTCAGCAGCCCTGTGGCATTTCATATTCTGCCAACAGCATTTCGGGTTGTTGTCAGGAGTTAGAGTGGTTAGCTCTCAGACTCTGAGCTTTGGGGGCCATTTCTACCTACATTCAGAATTGCGAAGTTTCCTGATTTAAGAAAATCAAACTCAATTTATCTAAACAGTGGGACGACATCATACAAACCAGACGGTGGTGACCTGGCGGCAGGCAAAAGAATTGCCGAGCTGGCTTGACGGAATCCAAGCAATATTTGGAAAAGAAGCAAATGCCTGCGGGGTCCCTGGCCGCCAAGATGAAGGTGCTTCTTGCAGTTGGCTCTGGTTGCAGTTTATTATTCTGAGAGTGAAAGGCTACCCAAAGAGCTGCTACCGAAGCAGCTTGAGCCTAATGGCTCTCTGCACAGAAGAACTCTCTAGAAATCCAATTTTCTCTTTGGATAAGACTAAAGAAGCAGTTAAGAAACTGAGCTCCAAATTCCACTGATCGCGGCCCACGTAGCGCGCGGGGGCAGCCCTGCCTGAGCAGCCGCGGAGCCGACGGTCTGGTTTCACAGTTATCTTTCCCTGCTTCGCCATCCCCTGTGCGACAGCTGCTGCCTTCCGGCCGTTGCATCGCTCATTAGTGTGTCCACTGGACACTGAAAGGGAGAGGAAGCGGCTCTTTGTGCTGCATTTCTGCTTATTAGGGGCTTTGGTTAATGGCTTCAGAAGCGGGGGGGCGGGGGGGGGCGGGGGGGAGAAGAGTCTGAAGCAAGTGGCTCCAATGAGGTACCTAGGGAGGCGGTTCTGATGTGAAGTGGCACTTAGTTCTTCATTTAGGCCACATTTAGAGTGAATTCATCTTAAGAGAATATGCTGAAAATCTAAGCAGGACATAGGCTCTTTTTCCACATCGAGGTAGTACAGTTAATTCTGTCCTATTTCTTTAAAAAAAAAAAAATGAAAAACTTTTTAAACTTATTTTTAGAGAGAAGAGAACAGAGGGAGAAAGAGAGGGGATGGAGGGGGTGGGGGAAGAGAGAGAGGAGGGGGGAGAGAGAGAGAGAGTGTGAAACACTAATTTACAGCCTCTCACATGTGCCCTATGCTCCAAACCCACATCCCGGGCGTGTGCCCTGACTGGGAATCAAACCTGCGACCTTTCACTTTGTGGGATGACGCTCAACCAAATGAGCCACACGGGTCAGGGCTGTCCTGTGGTAGTACATGGAAAGTATTTATTAAGTATCTTATAAAGAGCATTTTCCTGTTACTCTTTTGTTTACTACTGTGAATCACTGCTAAGGGCAGCTTTCTCAAAAGAGTTCAGGAATAATTGAATCTGTCACATCCCCATAATAATTAAAATGTCCTATAATTTGGCATGACAATTTAGATGCCCTGAATGTGTAATTTACTTAAGCATAGTATTATAGAGAATAACCACTCCTCCTGATGTGGAAGGAAAAAAACCCGCAGTTTTAAAATACACGTCTCCCTCGTGCTAAAGGCTAAGTAAATAAGTGAATCGAATTACTTCATACAATGAAAAACTTTATATTCTGCAAAAGCAACAAGTGAGCTTTAAAAAATCACCACTTCACCCATATACCATTGGTGGAAAATGGGTTCTCTGGCTATTAAAGACTTCACATAATTTTTAATGGAGGTATTACTGATATTTTCTCTTTGTCCGACTTCCTATGTAATCAAATATGAGGGAATGGCAAATCTTTCCATTCTCTTGCATGTTTTCTGAAAACACAGGGATGCCACCTAGACGAGGTGTCCTCAGAACTGGCCAGTAGGAAAACCAGCAGAGCCAGAGGAAAAAAAAAAAAACAACAAATGCTCTCGCAAAGCAATAGCATTAACAACATAAATGACGGAAAGATCATGTCGGCCAAAATCTTTGGAGCCTTATACACGTCAGCAATTTAATAGCCGTACATTATACTCCACGAGGGGAGTTTCCAATCTTGCAGTGGGACACAGAACGGTGGCAATTTGTTCTAAGCTTGGTGGTTCACTTTTGACTTCTGTGAGAAATGCTTTAAAAATGTAACACAAACATACCTCTTTAATACCCTTTCACTATGCATTAAAACAAAATACTGTATCTTAACATGAACTGCATTAGCATAGCCCCACATGGAGGAATTCTCAGGACCTGAGGGGTGAGATGCCCCGGCACACAGACGCAGCGTAACAAAGGGCATGGCCTCCTTAAGGGAATGGAATCACCCATTACAAACACAGCAGCCTTGCGAATTTGAAGAGGAAAATAAAAATAGACATGGGTTGAACATTCGCTGTGCCACATGCTTTACACTCGTCACTGTTAATTCTAAAAACAGAGTAGACAAACACAACATAAAATTTCCTTCCTCCCATCCTCCCTTCCCCGCATCCAGTCAGTATTGAGTGAGTACCTAATACCACAGCACTGTTTTAGGAATGGGGGACTCAAAGACAAGCGTGACAAACGCTCGCAGCCAGAGACAAAGGCCGAGGTGTGGTTCAGTTAAAAAACTGGCTGAGGCTGCAGCATCAGTAGAGGGTAAGAGCTGGGATTTGAACCCAGGCCTGAACCTGTATTCTTTCCTTTCCATGTGTGTACCCAGAGGAAGACACTGTTTATTATCAAAAGTAAAATATTTGTTTATTTTTAGTATCAGGAGTACAATAAGGTAAGAATTTTAACATTTCAATTTTCTAAGATACCTTTCCACGTGGATGCTATCTTATATTAACTTTGCATAATTTAAGAAAATATGCCTACAAACATAAACATTTCCCCTCTCTGCTTTCCACTGCAATTTTATTATCGTCAGGGCTCCAATGATTTACTGTGTGCCCAAAATATGCTCACAGAAAAAGAACACCGATTTTATTAAACTATCACAATTAATCAAGAGCAAGGAACACACGGCCATAACACGTTTGAGGAAAATTTAAGTAAACTTTCATTAACTCTTGAATTTATCTGGCAAACATGCATTGCATACTGAACCGCAGTCACGTCAACCTGCTGGCCTGCTGTGGGCGGGGCAGAGGTATATAAGTCGCAACCCCTGCCCTTAGGGAGCCTACCACTGAAAGGACAGAGAGAAAAAAGTATCCCCAGTGTCTACACTGCAAGAAAAAAAAGCACAACAGAAGAGCGTTAGCCGCAGAAGAAATGACTTCCAGCCAGAGGCTGTGAGGACAAGCTTCAAGAAGGAGAGCAGGGAACTGGGCCATGAAGAATGGAGAGACTCGAACATACAGAAAGCGGGGTAGGTGGGGAGGGGTCGCTCCAGGCACAGGGGACAACATGGGCCAGAGGGCTGGAGGTGAGCATGCCAGCTCCTTAAGGGCAGGGTTAGGTGGTTTTCCTTGTTCACGGTGGCCTCTCTGGGTCCTGGCATTGTACATGACAAGTAACAAGCGCCCAGCACATGCTGGCTGAAAGTCACATACAAAGGAAACGAAATTCAGGGCATGACTGGGTGACTGCCCAGCGGTGTCGTTTGCCAAGAATACAGGGCGAGGTGCGGTGAAGGGCGGAAATGGCGTAGCTGTCTAACGCAGCATGATATAGGGATCATAGGGCAGTAGATACGGACTCGGAGGACCACGTGCCCCAGGTTGATGGCCATGGGCAAGAGGGAGAGGAAAAGTGGAGGGAGAGACAGACCGCGGTGGAGGACGGAGGCTGACACTCACTGATATCAAACCATCGGAAAAGAGAAAGAAGTCAGTGCCGCAGAGGCGAGCTCCAGAAACTGCGGGGGCCGCCTGGGGTTCCCCTGAAACAAGGCCAGCAACAGCCTTTTACCCACTTCACCTTTGCTCACTGGTTTGAGCAAAGATTCTAGCCCTTTTGGAACAAGTAAGCACAACACAACTCTCACTTTCCTTTTTGTACAGGTAAAGAGGTATAACTTTGAATTTTAATTTTTGCCCCCTTTAACACCTATAAGAAAAGGCCCCTGAAATCTCCCGCTGTGTCTCCATTCTCCCCAGAACCCCAGCTAAGCTGCAGCCTGAACCGCACACGCATGTCAGCGCGGAAGCAATCCCTTGGCTCCGGGATTTCTCCAGGAACGCCAACCCCAGATTGCTTGCCGCTCTCTGGAAGGTTAAGGAAAAACACATTATGGTGCATGAGTCAGTCAGTTACATAAGCTCAGTGAAGATGTGTTTATCGGGCCTGTGTATCTGCAAATATTCCAAGCAGCTGTCCTAGATATAAAAATTAAATGGGCCCATTGCAAAACAATTTAATCCATTTTAATTGGCAGGATGCCCTCAGTGATAGTGCGGTGGCTGCGGGGAGAGGTGGAGGGCCGTTCAGGGCGGAGGAAGCGCCTGGTGCTGGGAAAGAGGTGCCCGGGACAGCTTTCCACATGGTGACCGGCAATCGAGGGAGATCCCACGGGGCACCAGGCAGAGTGGGGCGGGGGAGGGTCTCAGCCTCAGAGGCCTGCTCCTGGCTGCCAGAGGACAAAGGGGCACAGGGACGGTTACCCGGCCTCGCAAGCTGAGTCCCTTGATGGGTAAAAGAGGCGCCCGTGATTTCCTCAGTGGCAAGGCAGTGTGGCAAGTTTTACTGAAAGTCCTTTCTTAGGCCTGAACATGGAAGTCGCTCTTCTCACCTGGGGAGGACGAAGACGAGGTCACAGTGGCCCCCGCAGCGGCTCCCCCCACCACCCGTGCTCCTGCGGGCGCCTGCGTGCCCCCCTCCCCCGGGAAGTAGTCTTCCTCCCAGACTGCATTTCCTGGGTTCACGTTAGTCATTCTTCCCTCTCTGAAAAAGTGGACAAAAATCTCCTGGCCTATTTTTGAAGGGGCTTTTCTCTACCGCAACGTTCTTACTGCAGCCGTGTAGGCTTATTAAAGAAAAGTGCCAAGAAGATGATAATTAGAATTTGAGTGCAACTCTGACTAGCTCGGAGTTGCTCTTGTCCTTCTCCAGGCAGGCACGTTAAACGGCCTCCAGTTTTGATTTCTACAGGGAAAACGACTAAGAAAAGGTCTGCGTCTGGGAGGAGCGGCGAAGGCTGCAAAACCACAAGATGGGCTACAAGCGGAGGAGGAGGACTCTGAGGTCTCGTAGCCCTGGCTGTGATTCTCTGGAGTCCATTCCCAAAGCGTTCTCAAAGGACTGGCGGTGGAAGCAGGGACCATGGACAACAACGCTGGGAGCGCAGCTACAGGTTTTCACGGGCTTCTTTTGCTCATGTGACCAGGGAGAGTCCCGGGGTGATATAAAGACTGGGGTGAGTGTGGGTTGGAGGAAAAGGCTGCGCTCTGGGCCAAAAGCAGGTCACAAGCAACCAGCTAATCCTAGAAACGACAGCGGAGAAGCTGTCTTGCATGCAGAGAGGGTGCTGAGTATTAGGAGAAAGAGGATTTCTAATGCGTCTGTCTTGCTCCACTGTTTTGTGGCAACTGAGCAAACGAGGGAGATTAAATTAGCTGTCATTACAACTACATCATGTTTAATAAAGTTAAAACTGAAGGAACATCTTTGTAAAATAGAATTCTAAGCCTAATACATTAATGACGCTTAATGAACCAAAACTGGGTAAATCCCTTTGGAGAGCCAACACATAAACAAAGCTATTAATTAGGTCACAGTTGTTTCCCAACAAGGCTTTTGTTTGATTTACTTACAGTAAACAAAACCATATGCATCCGTCTTTGTGCCGAAGTATTCACGGGGGCAACGAAATGTAATTATTACACCTTAAGCACTTGCAATTACACGACTTTGGGATGACAACACTGTTGGCTATGCCCCTCATTAGCATCTGTCACTTCCCCAGCCACTCCCAGGCTGGCCGCCGCCCTCAGCGGCAGTAGGCTTTGCAGCCCATTGACTTGTCTTTAAGTCCTTAAACCTTTCAAAATAACAGAAGAGACAGATCACTTGTTTCCTGGAAAGGAAATGGGTATTTCTAAAGAAAGCAAGAAAAACAAATTGCTTCAAAACTCAAAGGTTCTAGAAGGAACATTATATTCGTGGCACTTCCCCCTACTGAAGGCCGAATCGGTACTCAGAAGCTCTAGAATGAAACACGGGGTTTCCCCCGGGGGTGGATGGGGCAGAGGGAACAATCCCTCCACTCTGAAGCTAGGGAACGGATGTCTCGAGTCCCCTGGGTCTGATCCTGCCACCCCCCTATAGAGGAGTCAGCAACAGAAACCAGCTCTGACCGAAGTGCACATAAGTAGCCATGTCGACATCTCCTGGTGGGCTCCCCGCACACCCCAAACATCACGGAGGGCCTCGTGGCCAGAGAGTCCTAAACTAAAGGTCTCCCAAGACTGGAGTCGTGAGTGGGAAGGGCAGCTGCATGGAGAAGTGCAAGGGCCACCACAGAAACCAAGATCAGTCATCATGACGGTCATGCGCTCTTGAGAGAGCCCTTGCATGCCCTGTCTCCAAGTCGACTTCTCCTTCACTCTAGCCCGCTGGCCCTGCACCTAGAAGCCAGCACTGATTCCTCTCGCTTCCCTCGTACCCCACGTTGAGCACATCACACAGTCCGCTTGGTTTTACCTCATCCACCCCAAGGCCAACCACCTCCCTATCTCCACTGCTAGCACCTTGGTTGAAGCCACCGACATGTGGTGGGGATGGAGGGTGCAGCTGTCACAGCGAGAGTGAGCAGTGCCTTTGAAGAGTGGAAAGTTGAACACCATGATTTTAACTACAGAGAGGAAAATGGGACAGGCTGGAGAGGTAGGGAGGGGCCAGGCTATAAATCACTTTTGTAAAACCATGTTAAGGATTTGAATAGATATTGATCAAAAGAGAAAAAAATGGGAGGTTCTTGAAATTTAACTGGTAAGCACAGTATTAAACAAATGGATGCATTTTGATAATCGCAACAAAACTGACAGGTTAAGAGTCCATGGATCAAGTTCTGATGGATAAGTTTTAGGAGTGACCAGCTAAGAAGTCTGCCAAATTCTGTCCTCCTTTGCTACTTCCCTAGCTGACTGTACCTTCCACAGATGCTATTTCTAAGCACCAAATAATAAAAGGAAGCTGCTAACATCAATATTGTAACACTAAAACCCAGAAAATAAATCTATATGGTACATTAAGGAGCAGAGATTCTATTTGAAGGGGCCCCCAGCTGAGCTGGAGAGGAAGCCATCTTTCTGCATCTAAAGCGTGACAGTGACCGAAACGTCACAACATCATTCATTTACTGGGGGAGAAGGATGCCACAGCGGACAGTCCAAGAAATACAGTGCTAGAGAGGAGGACAACAAAGCAACAGGTAAACCAGAAAGGCAGAAATGAAAGGTTATTTTTTGAGTTGCATTCAAGAACACAAAACAAAGGATGCTGGAAGTTAAACACTGTTACTGGAATCTAACAGGTCCCGGGGCTGTGATGTTGGAAGGTCACACGGCCACTCACAGAGTCTGCTGGGGTGGCCTACCTCCTGCTGCGACGCTCCAGTCCAGATGACCAGCCGCGCTGCTTGGCGCGTAAAACATCCTTTTGGCCCTGACCGGTGTCACTCAGTTGGTTGGGCGTCAACCCGCCAAGTGAAAGGTCACTGCTTCGATTCCGGCTGGGGCACGTGTCTGGGCTGCATGTTTGGGGCCCCAGCTGGGGTGCATATGAGAGGCAACCAATCGATGTTTCTCTCTCACATTGATGTTCCTCTCCCTCTCTTTCTCCCTCCCCTCCCCTCTCTCTAAAAATAAATAAATAAATGAAAATCGTTAAAAAAAAAAAAAAGAAAACATCCTGTTGGTTGGAATCCCCCACTCCTGGGGTATATGCGGTCAGAGCTCACTCTTCTACGTGTCCAGCTCTGGGGGGTGATAAGGTGAGAGGCATCACTTCGACGCCGACAGTCTGGTGCCTTCCCAAGGCCCCTACTGATGATCCCAGCTGGCGATGCACGCGAAGCAGGGTGGGAGGCAGTGTTCCGGAGGCCACCCAGGAAGTCAGAAGAGAGAGCTCTATTACCACTGGACAGACATAAGGAAGTTTGGCTCGTAATGCTCATTTATTACTGATCATTGAACCGCTTTTGTACGGAGCATAAAAGTCGCTGGTTAACTTCATCTGCTGCCTCTCATGCACTGTGCGGGCCTTCTTTATCTGTTTACTTGTTCATTACTAACCAGAGCATCGCTGGACACAGGTGTCTAGTGACAACAGATAGACAGAAAGCTGTCCGTTGCCACAGGCTGGGGTTAACCTGAATGAAATAGCTTGCATTCTTTGGGCTTGTTTGCAGCTAACGGTTTCTTCTTGGAGGGGTGATTTCCTTTTCCTTTTAAAGCCACATTTGGAGGTCTACGAAAAGTGGGCAAGCAACGGGGAAAAAGAGAAAGAGAGGAGGAAAAAGAAGGGAGAGAAGGAGAGAGAAAAGGGAGGAACAAAGGAGATGCAAATAAGGAAAGAAAAGACTCAGTTACTAAGGAAGAAAGAGCCAACCATACCGGGGAGAAGATAGTAAACATATCCGGAGACTGAAGCTCAGAACCTGCCACGGTGCAGTACCCGGCTCTACCGTGGAAGGGACTTGCTGGCTGTTTGCCTGCACTCTCTCAGCCCCCAGCCTAGCCTCATCTGTGATACTGCAGCTGGGCCTCGGCACATTTCAGTTGCTCTTCGTTAGGCTCTGCCAGGAGGGCGCAGGAGAAGGAGACCGAAGGTGGGACAGAGAACACATGGTCCACCTAGTTCCTGCCATCTGGGCCAGCTTTGCCCCAGCAGCAGGACCTGGGTCCAGCCTCCACCTTCCATCGGCACACTGAGAACCAGCCTCCTGGGCTCCTTCCCGCACAAATGTGACCAGCAGCCGTGGCCCCTTCTCGGATGTCCGAGCTTCGACCCTTTGGGGCTCCCCTCCCAGCTCCCAGGTCTGGAGGTCCATGGGCGGGCATGGCAGCTGCTCTCTAAAATCATCACCTTGGTATTTCCTTTCCCTCTTCCAGCTTTCAAGTCTATGTATCAAATTTCCTATATTAAATCCTTCCTGTTGAAATACGTTGCTTTTCTGACTAGGCCCTTTCTCCCCAAAGACTCCCCTTTGACAACACAGCTTGTGATTATCCCAACAACTGAGAAATTCTGCAGCCATGCAGTCCAAGTGGAAGGCTCCATTTTTGATTAAGGGAATCTACGCTGCTGCAACAACAGGGACACAGCAGCACCGACTATGTTCTGTCGCTATGTAACATGAAGCTATCTCCTGGATTTGGAATATCTTCACGGTTGGCCATCTTACACAAAAATGACAGTACGAACAGTACAAATAAGCTTTCACTAGGAAAATGCAAAAGTAGCGGGTATAGTATTTTATAGCACATTCTAAACTAATGTATAGTTGAGTATGTGAGTTATTGTCAAGAATGGGAGGAAAACTTAACAGAAAATTAATTTTGTAGACTTCTATCCAGCTTAACAAGAAAGGATAAATGGAGAGGATGAACATACACAGGAACAAGAGGAATCCCAAAGGGGAGGCCTCACCATAATCTTGTCACTGTCGATAATGGTGTTCAGCCTGTGCGCGATGGTCAGCACGGTGCACTGGGCAAATTTCTCACGGATCTTTTTCTGTATTAACTCATCAGTTCTGGAATCAAAGAAGTGGAATTGGGTTCAGTAAAGACAGACTAAGACTTAAAGAGGTCATATGACAGTTTTATAATGATTTTAAAGATCAATACTTTAAGCAAGAGCTTGTTCTTTAAAATCTAAGAAAGTCTACTTAGAAATTTACTATTTTTCATTTAAAAAAACGAGATATTCTTCCCCTCAAATTGCTTGAAACTAGGAGGAGCTGAATTTAGGAATCCAGCCCTCTTTCGATGCTTAATAATATCATTAACACCATGTGACATGTTTTGGTTTCTTCCTCTGCCTACCAGAGTTAATGTTATCAAGGGATACCCTGGCGGCAAAGAGAGCACTTAGAAAAAACGCCTCACCGTCGCTAAATGTTTCTCATTTTACCACATTCAAAATTTGGATTCCAGGTTACAGGGAACTGAGCTCCGTACCTTAGATCCACATTTGCTGTCGCTTCGTCAATGATCAATATCCGATTTTTCCTGAGGAGAGCTCTGGCGAGGCACACCAGCTGTCTCTGTCCAACACTGAAGTTCGACCCGGATTCTGCTAATTCCGTATCCATTTTGCCAGGAAGCTCTTCGATGGTTTCCTTAAGTTGTACCTGCAGATACAGAACAAAGAATGCCATTTTCCTAAGCACACAGCTATTGAGGTAGACATCAGAGCTTTGAAATCCCTGGAACTTCTTCCGCGTCTTGCACGTATGGCCACGCAACAAGGACAGTTACTTCCAATTACTGTTCACTGAGAAAGATGGTGGAGTCAACTCAGGACAGAAATATTCTGACTTAAGGGCACAAACCGAATGGGAGTCAACACCCTTCCTGGTCGCCTGGTCGTCTGCTCATGTCCTGTCACTTTCATTAAGATGTATACAGCATGCTAAGTAAAATCATTCCTAAGGTAACATATAGCAATTTTAAAAATGTTCCTTTTTAAGTTTTCATCAAAATTTAACTACAAGCATTTACAGAGACAAAATCGTAGACCAATGATTGCCTAGAGAGGGTGAGCTGTAAAGGACACAGGGAGCTTTGCGGGGGTGAGAAAAATGTTCTAAAACTGGAGGGTTGTGATGGCTGTAGGGACCAGACATTCACCAGAATCACCGAGTCCCGCGAACCAGGTGGCAATATGTGGGCACGTAAACCATTCCTCAATCAATAAAGATGGAGCAATCCGCTCTACGCCCCCACCCGACACAACACCCGCCAGGAACCCTCCCCAGGGATTCGCAAAGGGAGTCTCTGAAAACTTGAAGGCATTTCTCCCAATGCAGTCGAAGCAGAAGAGTTGAAAAGATCTTATGGTTGAGTCAAGTTTCCCAAAGTCCATTTTGCACAGGAATTAGTACATTCATGGAAAAAAAAAGAAAAATCTTTTTTTTAATTATGGCAGGAAGTATGGCTCTTTAAAGATACAATCTTACCAGTACCTTGCTCTTTCGGAAGATTTTAAAATTTGAAAAATACGAATTCACACATTGGCACACTGCACTTCACACATCAGTAAATATGGAGTCTGTTTTGGCAATGGTTCTTTTCCCAAATTTAATCTCATATTATAGACCAGTCAGGTGCGCTTACTTCAACCTCATAAATGTCTTGCAGTGAATGAAAACTCATGAAAAACAGGGTGCAGCATAACATCTTACTTCCCCCACACTATGGAGGTAGATGGCGTTTATATTAATCTATCTCAAAAAAATTGTAAGTTTAAAAAAAAACCCTCTTAATCACCAAAGATAACCTGAAACTCTACAGAGCTCAGTTCAATGGATATTTGTTTTGGAGAAATTTTATAGAGCAAACTCAGGCTATCCTTGAGAGTTAATGAAGAAAAGTAAATACTCTTCAAGTTAAGAGATTAACAGATTGATGAGTGGAGGCCAATAAGCAGCAACACAGAATGATCATGTCAAATAGCAAATACCAAGGGCAAGTGGGCAATGTTTTCAAGGTATCCTCAACGCTGAGGCACTTCTGTGAACGCGGTCTGGAATTGCACTCACGATGGAAGTCCAGTCTCAGCAAATGGAAATTCCAAGTTAGGATTAACTATGGTATTGGTGTTTAGCATTAGCACGAAAGGTCCACAAAATCTAAACGTTAAGTTTTGAATTGTGGCGCAATGACTTGTACTGAAAATTACAAAATGAAGATGCCAACTTCATCAGCCCCCTTCCATTGTAAGGAAGAGTACTCACCGAGTATCTTTTTATGACACATACTATGCAGAGATCCACACCCCAGGTGACAGAACCCATCAAAAGTATGACAGTGGCAATGACTTTATGAGCTTTTCCTGCTGCATTGACTTCGGTAACACTTACGCATGCAAACTGGTCTTTCTTAAGACATATCCTGGCTGTGAAGAAAGAATCTCACCCCTGCCCCACACTGATCCCATCTTGTCACTAGCCGGGTTCGGACCATCTTTCAGGCCCTCCATATCTGCCTGACGAGGAAGAAGGGCTCTTCGGTGAAGAACAACAGCCATGTGACCCAGAAAACACTTTTCTGAGACTCTGTCTTCACTTAACACAAACGTGAAGGTTCTCTGTTAATGTTATTCCACGTCCATGTTATAGTTACGTCTCCGGAACCAGAAAAAGAGACCTAAGTAACATAGTAACTGGGAGTTGTAACTGGAGAATTTGAAAACATTGGATAATAGCATAACATTGCTAGGAAATTTCTTGAGTGAGATGACTATATATAAGAGAATGTTCTTGTTTTGATGAGGTATATATTTAAGGACGAGCATATAAAAGGGTGAATTGGGGCATTTAACGAAAACTCCTGCAACATACTTTCAAACAGTTCCACAAAATATAGATTGTAGATGGGAGAAACGGGAGAAAGTAAATGTGGCAAAATATTAACGACGAGTGAATTTAGGTGAAGGGCGTATGTGTGCTCATGAGCCAATTCCTTCGACTTCCCTATGATCTGGAAACTTGCAGATGAAACACTGGGACCTTGAGGCCAGGCTGCCTGGGCACGAGGCTCACCTGGTTCTGCCAACTGGGCAAGTTCCTGAGCATTTGCTGCATACGCTACCTAACCTATAAATAATACTGTAATATTATAATATTATTATAATATTATAGTAATACATAATACTGTAATATTATAATCATAAAGGTGCCTACCTCCTAACATTGTTGGAGTATAAAATTACCATGTGCCAAGTTTACAACAGTGCCTGATACAAAGCAAGAGATCAACAGATATTGACTATTATTAATAATGCTGTCTGCTAGCCTCTCTCTGTGTCCTGCTACATTTTTCCTCTTTGCATTTACCAGAACTAAAACTATATGCATATATAGGTATATATAAAATATAGTTTTGCATGTTTGGGCCTTTCACTGATAAACTGCTCCATCTTTAGCTGTTTCTTATGCTATATTTATAGAGCTGCCGTTTCTTTTTAGGTGCCCCAATCAGCACTAATTTCTAATGAACTTCCTTCAGTTTACAGATGGTGATTTTTCAGTATATATATATGAAAAATGTATTTTCTGCATGATTTTTAAAATAGCCAAGATGAGATGGGCAACATCTGTCAAGCTCTCTCCTTCTGAAAGTCCATCTCCACCAAGGAAGAAGGAGGAGGCAGAACAAAGAGGACTTAAGGGGGGGAGGGAAAAAAAAAGAAGCATCTTTTCCTTTTATGTGAATTCTAAAAGAGGAAAAACGTAGCACCCTTTTATTGACTCTTGAGACAACTCTGTGAGTTTGGGTTCCCATTTCCAGTTTGGCATCTCTCATAATCCAGCTGATGAGGGTTTTTAGTTCTCCTAAAATATGACTTCATTGCTTTCTGTGTTTTTCAATGAAAGATTTGGTAAATTTTCTAACAATCAGGATACCAACTCTTTCATTGAAAAATATACAAAAGAGAAGCACAGAGCTGGAGAGACTTCTCATACCAGGAGGTACCACTGAGTGCACAGGGCGATTCCAGGAGCAAGACACAGAAACCACTGGCTTCAAATTGTGAAATAAAAAATCACGCTTATTTTTATTCACAGAATGTTCCAAATGTAGCTTAAATAAAGGCAGGTCTTAGTATTATCCACCACTTCCACCTCATCACTTTTATAATTCTGAGAAGCTTCTAAATTTTGTTTAAATTTTGGCTCCTAGAGATGAAATAAATTTCAGCCAAGTTCTCAGGTAGTTTTTGACAGGGTTTGTCTCCCAATTAACATTTCTTCACTGTCTAGGGAACAATGTGTTTCTAGAGTGATTTTAATATCATCTGAGAATCTGTGAAGACAGCTCTCAAGCTCTGAAATAAATAGAAAAATAATTTACCAGTCAATCCTGTTTGTTTTTTAAGGCGTGTCACAATTTCACCATTAAACGTGCCCTGAGAGTTCGAGAGAGATAATCGCCCTACCTGTCTTTCTAGGTGATGGGAGACTGTTCTCCCCACCTCTGCTTTTCTAGAGTTTCACTGTGGAAAGACTCACCAACTCAAATGAAGTCAGAGGGCCCTTGCTGTTCACGCAGGAGAAGGCGTCGGGGTCGGCCCGATATAGGAAAGGAAAATCCCCACGGGTGCTGGGGAGCAAGGTGGGTGTGTGAGGACTCAGTGCCGACATGCCTTCGGAAACCAGAATTACTGGCAGGAAATTGTCGGGCATCCAAATACGCTTGCTCATAGTCAAAGCTCATCTATAAATTAAAGATTCCAGAGCTATCCCTGGAAGGGGGACATGAAATGGCAAACACGCAGATTCAGAGCAACAACTCCGTGAGCAAATGACGACGGGGTCTTGCATGTTTTTTGTTCTGTTTTGTTTTGCTTTGCTTTTTTTAAAGAAATGAGCTGAGCCCCACTTCTCTGAGATGAAGAGAATGTTAATAAACACTCAGTACATGTTTATTAAGTGCTTACTTTTTAAAAGCAAAAGACTGAGCTAGGTCCTCCGAGGGACGAGAAGTCTGTCTACGCTTTACAGGTCTAGATATGGCTCGTGCCATCCAGTAGCTTGGAATCAATTTGTAGAAGAACTAGGGCAGATACACAAAATAATTAGTATTAAATGGTACAACAGAGCAAGCCCCGTGAAAATAGGACTAAGAGGATTTCCAATGTTTTAATAATCTTGCACTGGGTTTTATTTATTAAATGCCAGTCAGCATCACCAACTTTCCATGCATCCTCATAAAACTTCAAAAGAAGTCTTCACTTCTATGTGATATATGACTAGCATAATTACAAAAAAGTAAAATGCATTTAAATACGTCCAATGTTTAATCAGATACAATCAAGAAAAATTTAATCAATGAGCTGAATAAAGATGCTGATGAAAGTTGTATATAAATATTTGAAATTAATGCTGCTTTTAAAATATATTTCAACATAAATAAAAATCCTGTGAGCAAAAAAAAAAAACAAAAACAAAAACAAGAAAACTACAAACCAACAACACCTTAACAGTCAAAACCATTTCATGCAAGGGAGAGGAAATTCAAAGAGGTAGTCCAAAGGAAAACACTACACGAATAACAGAAAATACTCTAGAAATGAACACTTTCCATATGAAAACACAGCAAAAGCTCCAGGGTTCTGTTATCTGCACTCACTCTGCAACATCAGAACATGTTTGTTAATAAATAATTATTACCACATGCTAACTGAATAGTTTCCCTTTATAAACACTTTTTTTTTTTAATACAACTTCAACGTATTTTCTTAGTATGGCCTCATTTGTCTTTCAGTTAATAATGAAAAGCTATCATTGTCTCCAGTTAGTAATTGTTCCCTAAGACCAGGGGAGTGAAACAAACGGGAGCCACTAGGTCACTAGTAGAAGCTGAACCCACAATCGTGACTTCTAGCTTCGTGCTCTGCTGTGGACAAGATAATGTATCCAATTGCTCTGGGTTCTAGGAAAAAGGTTAAAATGAAAACATGAGCCGCTGTATTTTTGGTTTTCATCATCATCAATATACACGTTTTACATGTATCCACGTCATCGATGTTCTCCCATGTGGTGAACGAGGTCAGTTAAACCAAAAAGCTCCCCCTTAAATACGTGCGATGCAATCAAGGATGTCTGCTGGGGCTAACAAGTTAATTACGTTTTCTGAATTACCTCTTGTAAGGCATTCCACAGTTCCTCATCTGTATGCTCATTAAAGGGATCCAGATTTTTCCTCATTGTTCCGGTGAATAAAACAGGTTCCTAAACACCGCAAAAACAGTGAAGGTTATTACTGTGGCCTCCTTTCCTTTGATTACAATGTGAACTTTCTGAACAGAATGGAAATTCAAAAAACCAAAAATTCACTATAATCATGAGTTATAAGGTTGCAAATGCTTGTTTACAGAACAGTCTCTCTATTATTAATAATATTCCATTGTACCGGGCACAGTCCAAAATATCTTCTGGGCCATTGAACATTAACAAAAGAAACTGCTCAAGTGTGTCATCTTAAAAAAGTGAAAAAGGAAGGTTTGATTTTTAATACGCCTTTCTGGTAGTGATACCTGCTCAAACAGGATAAAATAAGGATACAATGATTTGAGGAAGTTTACATTGAGAGCGCTCTATAAATTAATTGCCAATCCTGGTGTGATACTGGAAAAATACCAAGAGCATGACTAGCTGAAATTTGTGCCTCAAAGCAAAACTGTTAACTATTTTCACATTTGCATTGAAGATTAAACAAGGATATTTTCTCCATTGGTCAAGTGATCTTCTGGGATTGGGAATCTCTTCACGTGTCTGAATGGGACAACCTGTTTCTCGACCAAAGAGAATGTAAATTAATGGGGCCACTGGCACCTCTATTCCCAAAGGGATCACCTCCGATTTGCACCAGCTAATCCCCACGTTATCTTGTCTGTGCATCAGGGTTACAAGACGCACGGAACCTTGTTATTAACTGCAAGGGCTGGAAAACCTGAAACCCATTGCGACATGCGTCACACTGAAATTGTTTTCACTGAAATAGCTCTCCCTATTCATCTGCATTGGGAAAAACCACAATTAAATTACTCTTGAAATCCATGCCTCCTTCTGGGTTTCAAGAGACTCTTGTACCTGCGCTCGAGCAGGCGGTTTAAGTTTTCTTCCAAGAGGCCCTCGTAACCCAAGCTAGGAGGACAGGGGCAGCAGCGCAGGCCTGACCGGCCGTTTGCAATGAAGGTAGTAGAACAATGAGATGCAGAGCTCCGTGGACAAGAGGAGACCGGTCTCTTCCACTGGTGCTGGACTCAGGGCAACCACCAGCCTTCACTCTGGCCTGGCCTCGGGGCTGGGCTATTCACTTCTCAAAAGCCCCTGAGCGGAGAGGTTGAGAAGGTAGACTTTCTCTAGCTGTGAAGGAGAAACGACGCTCAGATAGCCCCCCAGACCCTCTCCTTTCCCTCCTGGCTCAGTTTCAAGACTGGTGAGGGGAAAATGGAGACAGAAGACAGATGGTGTGCCAGCAAAAAACATGTAGCCCTAAGCAAAATCCTAAATTAAAAAAAGATGCTACAAAGGGCGTTTTATTCGCACAAAGTTGATAAAGTGGTCCATGTGCCCCCAAAGTGTGGCAAATGACTGGTCGTGAGTCATTTCAAAATGATCGCTGGGTTGAACTGAAAAAATCCAGAGACCTTCCTTAAAACTACCAAAATTTAGGATCAAAGACGAAACCCTCTAAGCAATGGGTCAGAGTTCCCTGTCGGGAGCAACCATCATTGCACTTCAGATTTAAAGGGAAAAAGAAACTTCTACTCCAGGGAGTTGTCAGTGTTCAGATTCCAGCAACCTAGGCAATTTCTCTTCCTTTAGGTGTTTCCATGGGGTTTACAGAAGCGATGCGGCAGGGCTGGGCAGGGGCGGGGCGAGGTGGAGGCGCTGGCTGGAACCCCTCACTCCTTGCTCTGCTCTGAGTCCCGTTCCGCACGCCCACAGCGCCCTGCCCTGTCAGCAGTATTCCACTCTGGGGCCCAAGCCGAGAGACTGCAGGGACCAGTGTTTGCGGAGAAAAGGGGGCCGAGAGAGGGCAGGTGAAGGAATCAGCTGTGACCCTACTGGGCAAAGCGACAGATGGTCCCTTTGCTCACATTAAAGACAAGACAGGACAGGGTCCTGGTCCATCTCCGCTATATGACCTGAAAATCTTTCCCCTTGGGTTCCTCGCAGAGCAAATTCATAGTTGGTGAGAGGTCCAGGGTTTTATAAAGTACCCACCTGGTTTTTAAAGTACACTCTAGAGAGGGATTGCCAAACCTAACTGCAAAAAAGCTGCTTTGTTTTCATTTTTTAAATTTTCTACACAACTTATTGTGAGGTGATCAACATTCAATAACATATCCGTGTTCATCATTTGCTTCAATTCATGTCTTGACCAATTTTTTGTTTTTCTTTCCAAAATGTCGCATGCCACACCTGAGGCCGCGAAGAATTTTTAAACGACGGACCTTTCTTCCTTCGTCAGGCAAACACGGGACTCATGGCACAGCACGGGCACATTTGGGAATGGCGGTTTTGGTGGCTCAAGAGAACAGGCACGGGGACAGACGTTTAAAGTCCAACTATCTACTCCATCATCAGGGTCTGTCTCTTGTCACTTCCCCCGCCTTCTTCTCTTTAGGAAGCCCCTTGAAGTGGAAGAATCTCTCCAGAGATTGGGGGATTAAAGTGAGGTCCTTCGCAGGAAGGAGAGCCACTCACTTAGCCCCTGACCAACGCCCACAGCCTCCTTAGGCGGGGCCTGAAACAGAGGCCTCGGGTGCTCGGTGGGCTTTGCGGAGGTTCTGCCAGTCATCACCAAACCCCTGATGACCGTCACAAAAACAGAGAAATTAAGCTTAAGCATTTCCCAATGCAAAAGGGTCCCCACTTAACTCTTTAAGTCAGTCTAAAAGAGTATAGTAGGCAATTACTCATGTTAATTTAGCAGTATGAGATAGGGGAACATCGCTCAGTACATAAGAGTAATTATCTTTGTTAAGAGATGCCAAATATATATTCCAAAGTGAGTAAAATTTCAATCAAAACCTGTTCAATAAAAAGAATGATTTATTAAAACATTAACAGACTGAAGCTATGTTTTTCTTTAAAACCAACAGGCAATTCGTTAACAATGTCTGCTTCGCTGTGCGGATGTGTTTCATGCGCAGTGTTCATTTTGGTTTCTGCTCATTCTACATGCACCCACTTGCCAAATAAGAAACCATTCTACTATCTCCAAAAGGTAATAAAAGTGCTCACAGCAGACACTACTGCAAGAGCAGATAAGGGTCAGGTTAATTATCATTTCTGATAGATAGATATTATTACTTAAAGTTCCCACCTCCAAGCAATGAAGTTAATAAACTAATTTTATAAATAAGTGTTGTAAAAATGTTTGTAGGCAGAACATTTTAGGGTAGACACTGATGGTAGGACCCACAGCCTTCATGAAAATATACACTAAATTTATTAGGCAAAGTACTATATTTTTCCTGAAGGTACACAATTAAACCTCATCTAGTGAGAGTTAGCTGGCACAGTACAGTTAGAAAAGCAAATGCTTGCGTTCAACGTAGTATTTTAAATGGAGCATTTGTACCAAGCCTGTTTTTCATCTTGGTGTAAAGTGCACAGCTTTTTTCTCCTTTGTACCCTATTCAGTAGTAATTTTTTCCTTTGTTACGAACATAACACAAGTTCATATTAGGGGTGCGACCCCAAAATGGCCACTCTGAATCAAAGCATTTAGTGCCGTAAACTGATAGTCTCCTGACCCAACTGCACGACTGAAAATGACAATCCTACTCAACCTTTTGTACGTGCGACTGGAAGACAAGCCCGTCATTATCCTAAAAAGAAACCCTACCCGCTAACCTTCAGATACTTAAAACGACCTGGGACCGAGACAGAAACACGGACAAGTGGTTACAAACTAGGCAGATAAAGCACAACACTTTGCTTTACCTGCATCGTCTCAGTCCCAAACCAGGAAACTGCCCCCCATTAAAATATACCCTCAAGGGCGGCGCCTGCCGCTGTCCCCTCCAATCCGAGGGGCTACCTTTTCATTTCTAATCTAAGGACCTTTATTAAGGGCAGCTCATCTCCCTGTTTCCAGAACATTATCTTGGGTTCCCTTTTTTTTTTTTAAATCCCGTAGCCTCTGAATGAACCGATCATCACCCATATTCAGAAGAAAAGAACATTGTTCGCCAACAAAGGAAAAAGAATTTAAGTCGTGTAAAGTCCTCTTTCGATACAGAAAGGTCAGGGGCGCCGGGAGCAGCTCCACGGGCTTTAATGAAGACTTCAGTGTCCGAAACAAAGGCCCCACTGCATTAGGCTGGAATCCAGTTGTATTTCTTTACTAGTAACAGCATACCCACCTCTTCTCTCTTTGAGTTGTGTTCCCAACAGGAAAAAAAGAAGGGAAAGAAAACCAGGTAATAAAGAAGTCTTAAAGAGACAGCTCTGGCTCACCTTTTTCAGTCTGCTGAAGACAGCCCTGGCAATGCAAAGCCCACCAGAGCAGGACGGGCTGTGTAAAACACCTAGCTTTCGCTTTGTTTTAAAAGTCTAATAAATATTTTTTAAAAATGAATCTGTTTAATCATATAAAGATGATAGCGGTCCATCTGTGCCAATGGAATCCCTCTTTAACTGAAAACATTTTTTTATGCCCACCGGATGGGGGCTCAAAAGATAGAGAATCCATCCAAAGAAGTTTAGAAATATGTTTTTCCAGATCCTCTCAGATAAGCAAGCTACTCTCTGAATATAACCTTGGTGTTCTCTTCAGGGAACTTTAACTATTTCGGATTGTGGGCACAAAGGCCGCATATATTTTGGCTACCTGTTTTGTGTAAAAAAATTACTTAGGAACAGTACCTGCTTGAGAGTTCCCTCCAGGCCTAGTCCGACTGTTCGTATGGCACCTCGGCTCCTGTGGAGGTCTTTGCTGCTATCACGCCTCTCCCCATTCTGACTTGCTCACAGTGGAGTCAAGAGTGATGGGGATGAGGCTGGAAGAGGGAGACCAGCACAGAAGCTCACGGCTGGGCCCAGGATCACAGACCACAGCCAGCACGGAGCCAGGGAAGACCACGTGGGCCCAGCTCTCACACCTGTAAACAAGGCAACAGCACCGGGCCCTGCCTTTGCCAAGTCTGCTCGAAACCTCTTCAGTTCCCTACATCAGGCTCCTGAGACACAAGCGACACTGCTTCCTATTCGTCTCAGGACAAGTGGGACTTAAGTTTGCTGCGGCCACTGGGCCATGGCCGGGAGGGAGGGCTCTTAGCTCTGGCAAGGTGAGATTTTGAGTATCTTCTCCTGACCCTGACCAGCCCATGACATGTTAGGGGTAAGCCCATTTCCAAACTGATTTTCTTTTAGTGGCGAGTGCAACCTGAGTTTTAAGAGAAGTGAACAATTCAGTTTTTCAAAACCACCGAACGATCCAAATGAGGGACATAGCACTAGGAGAAACAGCTTTCAGGGTCGCGCTGTATTTATTTGTTTTTGTTATAGTTTAGGGGAATTCTCTGTGAGCAGGGTGGGAGGAAAAATGGGTAAACTATCTGATGAGAACATCATTTCATTCAACGAGCACCTACTGACAAGTACATAGAGAGAGAGAGATTTGGAGTTGATCAGTCCTGAGTTCTGAACCTACTGCGTGTTAGCTGTTTGAGTAGGGGCATGTTACTCGCCTCCCCACAATGCCAGGTCCTCAGTTCCTCCCTGGCAATGCGGTTAACCTTGCAGGACCACTGTGAGAATCCGGAAGGTCCATGAAGCCGGAGCCCGACCGCACAGGGGGACGGCGAGGGGTAGTCTCTATCAAGCTGCGCTTGAAGCCAGCGGATCATGAAATCAATTTTGTGCCTTGTGATCATCCTTCTGTCTTTTATATAAATGAGCACAGAATGAATATAACAGAAGATACAGTGCAGAGCACAGAGCAATATTATTTTGGGGAATTTTAGTCTGTGTGTGTGTGTGTGGGCGCACACAGGCATGAGAGCGACACAGAGCGGGTGTGCTGTGGACCGCAGTCGGCAGGGGCCCTCGTCCCCGACGGGTGGCAGGCGCAAGAGCCGGGGGGTCCTGTTGGGAAACTTGAACCCTGGCTCTGGGGCTTGCTTGTTAAGGGGGTTATGGTCACTTCCTGTGCCTCAGTTTTTCAATCGTGCACATGAGGAAAGAGGCCAAACCATGTTAAAGATTCCACAGGTGATAGGCATTATTATTCATACTTGTGTAACTTGGTCAGGAACTGCAAAAAGACCGCGGCCACGAAACAGAGACAGCAAACGTGTCAGGGGCCCTACAGGGGACTGCGCTGTATGAGACGGGTTCAGAGCGGTGCTCAGGAAAGGGTGGGAGGGCGGCCAGAAAACAAGACAAAAACAAGGGCCAGGCTTTGGTGTTCCTGTTGTGCCTTGTGGGACAAACATTGGACAGCTTTCTCCTCACCCGAGGACGCCTTTTCTTCTCTCTCTCTTGCTCTCTCTCTCTCTTTCATTTATTTTTTTATTTATTTAGGCTTCGCTCTTTAAATTTTTTTTTTTACATAAATTTTTCAATTTTTTGCTTCACTGTTTAAGTGTATATACACAATGGGATTTATGTTATAAATAATCAATGTAAAATCACCAGGGGACCACAAAAACGTAAGTAGAAATTAAACAGCAAAGTCCATCCAAAATGTTTTACTATTTTTACTTATGTAGCAATAAAAGCCAGTACCCCGCCCCCCGCCCCCATCCTTAATAATCATAGTTACGCTTTACTGAGTAGTGCTAAGATCCAGGCACAGGCCCCCACATATTTTCTCATCCAGTTCAACCTTCACAACTCCAGAAGACGGTAATTACGAGAGCGGGTGTCATGACAAGGACAGTGAACCTCGGAGGCCCTGCGAGTTCGTCGAGGCCACGAACCCCTAATGAGGCAGAGGCAGACGGGGTCTCCACTCCAGAGGTGCCTGCCTCCTGGGTGATATTCCGGGACCCTGTACACACTGCAGTCTCTTCTGACTCTCTCTCTTTAATCAACAAACACTGTGCCTTGGAGGCAAAGGCATATAAAGTGAAAAAAAAAAAAAAAGGTTCTGTGTTTACAATGGTTGGTGATCGTTATCTGCATGGATACAAAGCTCGGCACTGTTTTGTAAGCACGCGCTCTGGAGAACGTATAGAGAGCATGCTCAAAAGTAGGGTGGAAACTGATGGAACAGAACCAAAACCTGGTGATGTCAAGGTATATTTAGTCTTTGCTCAGATGTGCTTCCAAAACATTACTGGAAGAGCCAAGAGCCATCTAACGTTATTTCTTTATTTATACAGTTCTTTTATGTACACAAGCCTACAACCATTTCTTATGAAGGAGCATTAAAAGTAACACAGGACACGTTTCTAGATCCTTTCATCCAAGGATATGAAAGCATTTTCTAGACACGCCCTTTGTTTCTGCTGTGTAGATCTCTTTGGCCCATTTCAGAGATGGGTACAACCAAAACGTAAAACCTGGGAACTGAGACTCATATTTTACACTGGAATCACTAAGTCATGAACCTGAGAGCCAGAGGGACTCTTTCAATGTGCAGGGATTTCTTTCCGTTTTTCCTGAAAGGGATATCTTTAAAATGATTTTAAAAAATTCTGCTAAAATACACATAAAAGGTACTACCTTCACCACTTGAAGTGTACAGTTCAGAGGGGTTAGGCGCGCCGAGCGCTGTTGCGCAGCCTTTGCCATGCCCCACGCACAGAGCTCCTCCCATCGCACAACTGAGACTGCACTCCTTGACCAGCCTCCGTCTCCCCTCCCTGTCTCTATGGATTGGACCACACTAGGCCTCTCAGAGAAGTGGAGTCACATGGTACTATCCTATGGTGACTGTCTTATTTCACTCATCACGATGTCCTCGGGGCTCATCCATGTTGTAGCATGTGTCCAGATTTCCTTCCTTTTCAAAGGTGGAATATACTCCACCGCATGGATAGCTCACATCTTGTTTAAGCATTCATCCATGCATGAGCAAGGAGAATGCGTCCACCATATTGTGGATATGGTTCGGGTTTACGGACATCTCTTCAATCCTTTTGGGTTTATGCCCGAAGCAGAACTGCTGGGTCGTATGGTAAGTCTATTTTTAATTGCGTGAGGAACCTCTATCCTGCTTCCACGGTGGCTGCACCATCTTACATTCCCACCACCCATGCACAAGGGTTCCAATTTCTCTAATTTCCAACACTTGTTATTTTATTTTTTTTTTTTTTAATATACTAGTCAACGTAATGGGTGTGAGTTGGCATGTGATTGTAGTTCTGAAAAGAATATCTAGATTTCAAAATTGCTTGGAGCAATTCCAATTTTTTTAGAGGCCAGTGGTAGTTAGCAATCACCATACTCTCATAAGATACAAGTCCCCCTTCTCCTTCTCTTTGGGGACCATGTTCTATAGGCTTCCATACAAACAGGCATTTAAGAGCTCTTTATATCCACATTCACCTTGTCTCTAGAGGATATGTGTCTTTTCTCAGTTTCCCTTGATGGCCAGATGACTATACAGCATAAAACAAAACAAAACACCCTGCATTTAGAAACAATCAGCAAGTCTGGAGCTGCATGTGTCTCAGGGCCAGGGAAGAGGGCAGGATGGGCGATGCGAGGCCAGGGGCCAGGGGGCAGAGGGCCTCTGGTGCCCGTGGCTACACACCTGGAGGACAGTAATTGCTCCATAAATGTTTTCTGACCTTTTTTTAAAATCCTCACCTGAGAATATTTTTATTGATTTTCAGGAAGAGAAGAAGGGGGAGAGAGAGAGAAACATGGGCGGGCTGGCTGCCTCGTACAAGTATGTGCCCCGGCTAGGGATCAAACCCACAGCCCCGATGTGTGTCCTGGCTGGGGACTGCACCAACAACCGTTTTTGGTGTATGGGACGACACTCCAAACAACGGAGCCACCTGGCTAGGGCTGCGTTTCCTGAATTTATGTTGAGTGGATGAACCACAGGAAGGACAGGAGCTCTTCTCGTGCATATAAGCCAGTCTCCAGACCACTTCCTGAAAGTCATGCTTCTATTAAGCAGAAGAATAAAAGAAAATAAAATCAGAGCCCTGGAAGAGAAGGTGGATTTGGCCCTCCACCATCACAGCACGCGACGCTGCCCACATGCACTTACCTATTTAGCCCTAACGACAGGTTTTGGAGTTTGTATTTGCTAGCTGCTTTGTACCGGAGAGAAAAATGAGGTGCAGAGAGATGGAATTCCCTGTCTCACGTCCTTTCTCACTATTCTCTGCTGTCTCCCTGCTCTATATCTCTAACTAGTGGCTAGAGTTCAAAAGGGCTCCCCAATTCCCACAGGTGCACTCCACAACCCTCAAAGCTGCACAGTGTCCCCGAAAAGCCTTCATGGAGATAACTGCCTTCGAAAAGGCAGCTTCATTGCCTACAGCAAAATACCATCGTTAAGTCGCTTAAATCTATGTTTTCCTAGAGAAATCTCTCAAGTGCGACATGAACCATTTATCATTTTGTTCTCAGAATTCTCTGGTTATCGGCAGGTAAAACGGGGTACTTGGGGAAGTTTGAGTCCAGAAATCTATTTTGTTATTAAATCTGTTTCCCTCTTTCTCTCTCTCTCCCCGTTTCTCTCTCTCACACACGCACACATCCCCCGCCCCCCCAACAACAGAAGAACAAACAAACGAACAAAACCTGGCATCTGATGAAAATCTCTGTTGAAAATGCCTGCTGTTAAAAATACATTCTACTGGGAAAATGGATCACCCCTTTAATTTACTTTTAAAAAGCAATAAAATTAAAGGCAATTAAACTTGGGTTCCCTATAAAAAGAACGTGTGAGAGTGCTCTGACTTGCATACCTGAGGTATGATTGACATTTTCTTCCTTAAATCATGAAGTCCAATTTCAGTTGTCAAGATTTTATCAATCCAAATTTTACCTTCGGGTTCTGACAACCTAAAAAGGGCTGAGATGAGGGAACTTTTTCCAGCTCCTGTTCTTCCCACAATGCCAACCTGTAAAGAGATCCAAGAGAGATTAAGAAAAAAACAATACACAGCAGACCCAGGAGAAACCTTGGCTGCTGAAGATGAATTAAGGACGTTCTACACTCGATGTAGTCCGCGTTTCTCGTCTTTGACACTGCTGACATTTTGGGCCAGGTAACTCCTCATTGTGTGTGTATGGAGGCTGTCCTGTGCACTGTAGGGTGTTTGCCCGTCTCCCAGGGTCCTATCTACCAGATGCCAGTAGCACCCCCAAATTGTGGCAACCCAAAGTGTCAGATGCTGACAAATGTCCCTTGGGTGGGCAAGCTGTCCCTGGTTGAAATTCACTCTGTCTAAAGAAAAGTTAAAAACAAGAGAATCAATCTCCTGGCAGTGAAAAGCCAGCTGTCTTGTATGTGGTCAATGAGAAGCCAGCTTTTAAATTCGCTTTATACCTGTGGCTGGGTATTTCGAACCTTGAAATTTCTTGAGTAATTTTATTGATATGTCCAAAAGTCAAGTCAGAATGTTATACATAAACATCTGACTCGAATTCATTTCCCAGAATTCTAGCTTTTAAGAGGACTTGTTGTTTGGTAAAGAAACTAAATCACTTTTGGATGTTCAATATCTGGTTATGTTCTATCTTGAAAGGGTACACCTTAAAATTCTAAAATGTAGGTCTCAGTGTCTTAAAAGACAACGAGTAGCCAAAATTCACATACTGGAATCAACAACAACATAAGTAACATTTGTTATTTATATGAGGCCTTTCATCTGAGCAGTTCAAAAGGCATTTTACAAACCAATTAATAGTTATAAATTTCTCCTTGGGAAAGAAACGTGTCAAGTATCAGTCTAGTTATTAAAACTAAAGCATAGAGAAATTAAGTGCAATCACAATAAGATCAAAGAATCAATATAAAGCCTGTAAAATGCTGGTCAGGAATGAAACAGTATTGTAAAACCTGGCTGTTAGCCGTGTACCTTTAAATCTGTATGCAGAAACTGGCTTTTTTTTTTTTTTTTCTTTTTTAAACCAATGAGCTTGCTCAACTGAAAATTCCCTAGTGGGAGGTTCCCAAAGATGATATCTCTATTTAGGAATCTGGAATCAATGAGGGGGCATAAAACCTGCTTTCACTCATCTGTGAATTAATTCAGTAGCTTTCTAAAACTCAGAGCTTCCAACACAGAAGAACTAAACCTTTCCGAGCACTGATTATATGGTGGGAACTATATATATTTTCTCATTTGAATGCCTCCAAAGATTTAAAGCTTAATCTGTAAAATCAATAACAGCATTTCAAAAAAGAATTTATCTTTTTTTATATGTGAGCAAGGCAGCAAGTAACGAGGGAGGACACACATCTGCCAGTTTCCTCTGCTCCCATGCACACTCCATTGCCCCAGCAGACTTCACAAAACACATGTTCAAAGATGAAATTATTAGCAATTTCAAGATAGGGTCAGCTGGGCTTTCAACCAGGACTTTGTTGCACACCGGAGAAAAGTCAGCCCCACCTGTAATTCTTAAATGGTGTCATCGGGATTTGAACCCAAGATGCTGATTCCAGCATCTAGGCCCTGACCCACTATAAGCACACTCTCTCTTTTGACAATACTGCTTTTCTTACTGTATTAATGTTGCTTTTTCGTCTTCACCACTGCTTCCACGTCTGACTGGCTAATCACATGGCCAGCTGCTTGGGGCCAGCAGGCTGGCTGGCACTCTTTTTATCAGACTGCAATAAGCTCTCTTTCTGCCTCCTGGGTGGCTTTTCTAAACCATGTTCAAACTTCTGTAGATTTGAGTCTCCTCATTCTTACTAAAACACAATTTTTCTGTGTCCATACATCCTTTTTTTGATTGCGTATGTTGTCCAAACGATACGTCAGATTTTACTCAGCCATTTACCTGCTGCTGGAATGTAAGCCCTCTCTCATTTTCCTCTAACTCTACAACATTGCGAGGATTAGTATGCATCCCTTACTCAGGTGAAATGAACTGGCCTCCAATTTTACTGAAGAGAACAGAACATACAAGGTATGAAATCCTCCTCATCCAAATTCCCACTCCCTGTTCCTGGGCGGTTCCCCTGGAGACGCCGACTGACTCTGAGAAGGGAGTTCATTTGGGAGCGCTCTGGGCACCACCACCTGTGCAGGGAGGCGAGCGATCCTTTCTTTCCCCCTGCCCCAAATATGAGTTTAGAGAGGTTAAATATGATAAAAATGGCTTTAACTAATTTTATTATCTTTGTATTCATTTTGCACCTTAGGGTAAATCCTCCTCTGTGTTTTACGGTGGGCCACTTTCTGCTGACAGGTATGTCGCAGTGCACACGCGCATGGCTCAGGTGCTTTTCTATATGCTGGGTTGGCCAAAAAATCTGTTTAGTGTCTTCCATAAAATAAAAGACATGTTTTTCATTGTCACCAATAACGTTATTGATGCGGATATTTTGAGTATGTTGGCTCTCTCCTGCAACGTATACTGTTGATTGTTCCTCAGTTAATGTCTTGATTGGATCTCTATCAACTTCAATCGGTCCACCTGACCGTGGAGCATCATCCAGAGGAAAGTCTCTAGTACGAAACTTCACAAACCACTTTTGACCCATTGGCTCAGTCACAGCGCCTTCTCCATACGCAGCACAAATCTTTGTGTTTCAGCTGCAGTTTTACCTTTCTCGAAATAATAAAAGTACAATAGGCCAAAAATATTGCGTATTCTCTTCCCCTTCCAATATTAAAATGGCTGCATAAAAAAATTCCCCAATTTTGATAAGTGTGTCTGTTTGTTTAATGCACACTGATATGACAGCTGTCACAGTACAATCTAACAAAATTGGTTTTGAATGAAGTTAAAGACACCTAAGCACTACTAGAGCCAGCTTTTGGAAAAAAACAAATGAGCTTTTGGGCCAACCCAGTATTCCCGGTGTTCTCATATGTAAATCAACTCACATACAGACAGACAAGAAACCATGCCTCTGAGAATGTGCAGATGTTCCTGGACTGTCTATCGGCATTACTGAAACTGACCCATGTGTTCAAAGGGAAACAGCTGTAGATTTGTGGTCATTGGTCAACATGTGGCAGGGTCACTGGGGGCTGCGCACCGCTCCAGGACTGTGAGTGCCAAACTCAAGAAAGGATAGCGAGAAAAAAGAAAACCTGCCTCTATTTCTCTCTGCTGTTCACTCATCAAAACAAAGCCTGAGTCTGTCACAGGTCCCCAATGGATTTTACCAATTGTCCATGGAGAGTGGCACAGATATCAGTAAGTTTGTATTCATTGACACCAAAGGGGCACTTTGAGATAGTCCTATTTTAGCTGTTATGGAACCGCCCCTCCATGTTTTCCCAATTAGGCCAACGCTGGCCTCTGATGGCCACACCTGCATGGTAGACACTTGCCCTTGAATGGCTCTTCAGACGTCTAATTCCCCATGAGCGATACCCGATGCCCCGCCCACAACAGTCTCTTCTCCAGACTCCCCCACTTTAATCTCCTAACTTCTTGTTCAGGTTCACAGGCCCAAATTGTTTACCTTCTTCCTAGCTTTTTCCGATGCCAGCATGACCCCGAAGATTCTACTTCTGCAATGTTTCATGACCCCAGTTCTCTCATTATAACACCCGGTGATCGCCTGTGTGCAAGGCTGCATCACCGTTAAAAAATCAAAATAAAACCATCCCTTTTCTTAATCGTCATCATGGCAAGTAAATTGGAAAGTAAATGAATACTAGCAGTAACCCCAGCACTCTGATAAAACCGTTCTTAAGATGCTGATGTGTTTTCTTTCTGGGCTTGCGTGTGTGTGTGTTCTTAAAGATACTAGCTCATATATTTAAACAAAATAGGGTTGATATGTATACATTATTATAACCTGCTTTTGTTTAATATTTCATAACATTTATTTTAATGGCCACATAATATTACAGTATATGATCATTTATTCATCAAATCCCCTACTTGTAGATATTTTGCTATTACAACTCTGTGTCAAATAGCCTTAAGTTAAATCTTTGCAAACAACCTTAATTATTTCCTTAAGATACATCGCTAGATGTGAAACTGCTGAGAAACAGGTGTGAACATTTTCAAAGGCGGCTGTTAAGCACTGCCAAACTACCCTCCAGAAATATGTTATCAGTTTCCACTCCTACCCATTTCCCTGCACATTCACAAACATGGGTGTTATGATTTTGCTTTAACTGCCATAGGTTTCATTCCAAAGAGTGAACCCACTTTCCCCACTACGTCCTGCTAGGAGTGCACAATAGGGAGTGGCTTCCCGCCTCTCTCATCTTCCCACTACGGTCCATGTGCCCTCCCTTCTCAGGCTAAACTACCCAACGAAACCTCTGTGCTTCTCCATGCACCAGGAAGTCTCTTCTACAAAACTGTCCCAACTAACCGCTCCATCCTTAATCAGCTTCCTTGGAATTACTAGGTAGTTCCGAGAAGTAAAAGGGAAAATGGGTGTTATGTACCTGGTAGTCCATTTCCTTGAAGACTGAAGGTGCCTGCTCCTTCAGTCACTAACCCAGGGTGCGGGGCCTTTGCTGACGCTGGTCTCCTCGCCTGGAAAGCCTTTCACACGCATGTCCACCCACGGAAATCCTGACCACATGGCACAAATTCTATCTCAAAGGCCCAATTTCTTGGAAATGTTCTACCTGTCCCCTAACAGATGTCATCTTGTCTTCTAAACTTCCACAAAAACTGTGATCTCCTTATATCTTACCTAGCAGCCATAGTAGCAATTTTTTTTTTTTAATTCAAGAGCAGGACCTATTTCTTTCTTTTCTTTTTTTTTTTAAAAAGATTTAAAAAATTTTTCAGAGACAGGGGAAGGGAGGGAGAAAGAGACGGACAGAAATATCCCTGTGTGAAGAGAAACGTCGATCAGTTGCCTCTCACACACCCCTAGTTGGGGACCAGGCCCGCAACCCAGGCATGTGCCCTGACCAGGACTCAAACCGGCGACCCTTTAGTTCGCAGTCCAATGCTCAATCTGTAGAGCCACACCAGCCAGGGCCATAGGCGCTGTTTTGGTACTACCTTGTTTCTTCTGCTGAATGGGGTATGTTGACAGCAGAGTCTGTATTAGGCTCACTGTTGTAGCACAGGTATTACCTGTGGCCTCCTGCCCAAAAGAGGCATGTTGTTGAGGGTTGAGGAGTTTACCTCAGGCTGGAGAGATTTATGGAAAATCTGCTACCATATACTTTAGGTATATAACAAGCCAAACAGGGAAGACTTGTGTGGCAGATGGATCCCATCACCATAAATACGACTGCAAGGACCAAGCCCTGCTTGCCCATGGGGTAGACAGCCATTGCGGACGTCAGCGGAAGAGGTCAGGCTCAGTTCTCGCCGTGAGAACGAAAGTTCCCTTTGTCCAAGCGTTTCCTCTGTGCTGGTCTTGGGGCGAGCAGGCGCTTGATACGTCTTATCTTGTTTAAGGGGTATAACAGGCCTAGAGGTGACGTCCTATTACTTCCATTTTGCAAGGGAGAAGATAGAGGCTTGGTAAGATTAATTAACCTGCCTGAGATAACAGAGCCTAGAAGTGGCAGCGCTCAAACCCAGAGGTGTCTGCCTCCTGTCCGTTCTGCTCATGGCCTCCCTGTCACCTGGAAGGCCTGGCACCTGTGTCCTCCTGTGTGGCTAGAAGGGATGAAGTGCGGAGAGGTGGAGGTTAAAGGGAATGGCCTACCATGTGGACGGTGAAAGCACGAGGTCAGTGCAGGCAAGCGAAATGCGGTGGGTGGGGCAAAAGAGCAGACATCTCTGAGCAGAGAGGGAACCCGAGGTTGGACGGGCCCCCACATCCGGGGCTGGGAGAGAAAACTGCAGCTCCTGGTGCACATGGTACCTAGGAAGCGGTGCCATATGTTCCACACAGCGCCCTGCTTGAGGCAGGGAGGCTAATTTTTGAAAGGGCCCCAAGTGATATTGCTCCAGCCGGCTGCCTATGCCTCAGGCCCAGATGGGGCCCAGCCTGTCATGAAATACCTCCAGTCTCTGCAGGAGGCTGGTGCAGAGAAGGCCAGACAGAGGGGCACAAAGCTGCCCGTGATGAAGACAGCGTCTACTGAAAAGACGTAAATAAGTGCATCAGCTTGGAATCACACAGGATTAGGTAATAATGTAAAACCCCGATCTGCAGAATATACAAGTAAATAAATCAATAGGGTGGTAAGTGACACAGAACTTTCTAGAGCATCATGCTCAATCTTCGGGGTTGGGGTATTCCATGAGCTTTATTTCAAACCGCCAAAAGACATTTCGTAGAAATCATGGGCTCTAACTGGGGGTTGGGGGGGATCTTTCATGGGATTTTGAGCCGAGAGCTCGGGCGGGCCTGAGATTCTGCATTCCTAAGAAGCCCCGGGGTATGGAGGCGCTGCCAGCTCTGTCACCAAGTCTGAGCAGGAAGGAGCCAGGAGGCAGCATGGGAAGCAGGACCATCTGGGAGTGAGAGGACGGGTTTCTGAGAAAGTATTATGTAAAAAGGGACAAAATGTAGGAAACTAATATTTTTGCACATTATAGCAAGGTCTAGTACACATCTATAAAATGTATTATCCAAGTAATAGCTCTGAGCAGGAAAAAAAATAATAATAAACCAAAATCAATCTACTTCTAGAGCTGGAAAATGCTTTGAAATGGCCCAGTACTCTCTAAAATGATCAAATCAACCACAAAATCATCTAAATGAAAATGCAGCCAGTGTTTAGAATCTAACCAGGAAAGCCTAGGGTGCTATTTGCCTCATTTTGGTTCTTTATTTCCCTTGCTATTTCTTCTGTGCATTAGAATCCTGCTTAGTGCTTATTAGATTGTCTTGTTTACTACAACTTCCAGGAATCTGGACAGCAGGGGCAATAAATGAAAGGGTTTAATGAAGCGCCATTCTGCCGTGTTGACACATTCCCGTGTCCCCTGCAACGGCCTCTCCCAGTCAAACGTCCAACAGAAGGGGTGTCCCGGAATAACGGGGCTGGCACAGGTGCGGAGGCCTGGGGTCTTCCCAGGCAGAGTGAAATCAAACCATGGGTACGCCGGCTGGATGCCACCTCTGAATACACAAGTGGAGCCAAAGGTGATACTGTGAGTGGCCCGAGACACCCATCGAAGTCACGTTATCAGAGTTATGACAACTCCGTCTCCAAGTTCAATTCTCCCGCAGGCATTGTAGAATCTCAGCTAATCGTATGACTTGGGGGTTGTTTTTTAGATGGAAGAATTCAAACTTGCTAAGGTTCTAAGTTGTTACGACCAAGTTGCTTAGATAATTCATAGTGTCGGGTTTCAAGGGAAATTTAAAACGTGTGCAAATTAACAGAATTATATCTGGCCCAATAAGCCTGACGGCACATCGTCCGCCAGTGAGCAAACCCCGCTGGCGGTGCTCTGGGGGTCAGGGTCCCACCAGGAGCTGCAGTTACTGTTCTCCCGACACAGCGTCCTCACCTTCTTCCCCACCTGCAATAAGACTGGAAATAATGAGGAGCCGGCCTGTGCCACGTGACTCGCTAAAGCCGCTCCCTAGGTATCATTAGGGCATTAAGTGGAACGCTGATTCTTTCATGTCACAAGGGTATCATTCATTAAATTATGGCTATAGTCCACTAAATGGGCCTGTGGTGGGGAGAGAGCTTAAAAGAGCCGTTCTTAAGGTATTTAACACATCTAGGTAATGGGTTGTTTACAGGAGCTGTCTTGAGTGTCTGTTTGGGCTGCTGGTTGCCCGACACCTGCGTATTACTCACTCTGCCCGCCAGCAGTCCCTCGGCAGCCACTGCGTGCCCTGCAGAGTGCCATTTTCGGGGGGGACACAGGTGCAGATAAGATGCCCCCTGACCTGAATAAGCCTCAGCGTACTGTGAGCTCAGACCCCAAATGCCAAAGCATGGCATGAGTGCCATCTTTTATTTTTCTATTGTGGTAAAATACACATAACATGAAGTTGGCCAACGTAACCATTGTTTTAAGTGTACAGTTCAGTAGTGTTAAGTATACGCCCATTGTTGTGTACCAACCTCCAGAATTCTTTCTGCCTTGCAAAAAAAAAAAAAATCCTTTATTATCCACTGAACACGAATTCTGCACTCACCTCTCCTCACATCTCCCGGCAACCACCAGTCTGCTTTCTGTGTCTATGCGCCTGACTATTCTCCTAACCTCATATAAGCTGAATCACACAGTGTTTGCTCTTTTGTGCCTGGTTTATTTCATTTAGCATCATGTCCTCAAGGTTCGTCCATGTGTCAAAATTTCCTTTGTTTTTAAAGCTGAATAATATTCCATTGTATGGATCTATCACATTTTGTTTATCCATGTAATCCCTGATGGGCACTTGGGTTGCTTCCAACTTTTGGCTACTGTGACAAATCCTTCTATGAACATGGGTGCACTATAAATGTTATGTTAAAAGAATATGTAAGAAGCTATGGCAGAACTGAGGGTCTCCCAGAGGCAGATACATTAGAGTTGACTCTGAAAACAAGGGGGCTTTCACCAGCCCGCTAATGGAAGGAGAGGGTCTCAGAGGTCAAGGAGCCAGGAGGACTGGCTGCTTCGGGAGAACGTATACGCCACCCAAGTACAAGGCATGTACACACATTAGGAATCAAGGCGAAACAGGTAGGTGGGAGAAGCTTTCTACAGCCTCCTCCTTTCTGCTTTAACCACTTCTTCAGGAGCCTCTGCTGAGGGCCCCAAGTCCCATGCCTGTGGACTCAGACACTGGCAGGGCCCGGTCACACACCTCCTGTTGGTCCCCCACGTGTACCAACCCCTGCGCCCTTGGGTTTCCTTTCAGCGACTTTGGGTGAATCTCTGGGCCTTCCCTGCCTCCAGCTGGGGGCTCTGGCTTCAGAGTCCTAACGGGGTCATGGATTCTAGACTCTCCTCTAGTGGCTGAGCGCTGACCACACAGCCCCTGCTGGAGAGGACCTGGGGCCTTCTGTGGTTCCAGCAGTGGCTCGCCCAGGCCAGGAGCTGGCAGGATGACCCATAAAGATCAGATCGGTGTGTTAGAGAGAAGCAGTCTGCTGGTGGGAGGGCAGGGGAATGACAGCAAGGGATGGGTTAGAGAGGCCAGGTCTATGGAATGGGTCAAGGGACAGAGTAGGGCCAGAAGCGAAGGCTACCCTGGGGAGGAAAGAAGAGAAGGGCCTGGAAAATACAAAGAACTCAGCATCGATAGGAACTAGACATTGGAGGGCTAGTGACAAGGGGCCAGGGTTGACTTCTAAAACCTTAGGAATGAGAAATTAGATGTTGGATCGAGTGTCCTGGGTCAGGTGAAGGTCCCACACTATGGCCCAGGGCTCACCAACCAGCACAAGGCAGCGCACACCACAGGGAAAGAAATGTTTGTGTTCACATTCACCGCCAGTTTCCAGCAAAGATTTACCTATATTCACTGATCTAATCTGCATACGAGGAAGCCAAGACACAGGTGCAGCCGCTAAATCTTTGGTTGATTGACCAACGATAAAAAAAAATAAAATATTAAAGAAGCAAGATGGTTTAAACAAACCTTTTCTCTTGATTTAATGAGTGCTGTCAGGTGTTTCAATACCAGAGGCCCGTCTAAACTGTACGTGAAGTTAACATTGTCAAAGACAATCACTCCTTCATGGGGCCAGGTCGGCGGTGGGCGTTTCGGGTATTCCCACGGCGCTTCCTTCTCAAGGTCTGTATACTCCATCACCCTCTCTACCGAAATCATCTGAAAGACACGTGGCATCACACAGGTGAGGGATGGAGGGTCTTGTTGATGGATGTTCAGAGTTGCAACTGAACCACTCTATTTTCATACCTAGTTGGTTAAGGATATATCAGGTCTGAACATCCCTAAAGAAGAGAAGGAGGAGTTTGATGAAGGCTTGGATGATTTACCAACTTGTTTATCATCTTCTGACACTTTTACTTATGGCAACTTCCCTCAACGTTATATTAAAACTAAAAGAACTAGAGGCATGAATGCTAAGATGCCATTCATCCACTTTTCATGCCTGAATAAAAAACCAAGACATTTCATCAAAGGAAAGAATACTTCCAGCCACCAATCAGTAATTTATGCTACAGAAGTGCCGTCTATTATAGATGAATTAAACCAGATGATCGTCAAACCTTATTTTAATAGTCACTCTCTACTTGATGAGAAGAACAAAAGGAAAATAATTCGTTTTTATTGTTTCCTCTTTTTTAGGAGAAGTTGCGAATGTTAAGTTACATACTGACTAAGCGCTCCTAACCAAGGGTAACACGACACCTTTGACTAGCAATTCCAAAAGGGAGCTTGTCCTGCCAGAGAAATGAGACAGCAGCAAATTCAGGGGTTCAACAAGACAAGAATAAATGCTACAATGGGGCAGGGGGATACCCATTAATTAAACAAAAACACAGCCTCAAGGTACTGAAGTTTTCTTTTACCAGGAAAGAGGAATAAACCATTAAGAAACAAAAATAAACAGACTTCTAAGAAATTAGCTTGTATCCTCTCCAGAATTTCAGAACCTCTCTCCCACAGAGACATTTATGACATCTGAAGACAGCTTGTGATGAATATAAAACCTGCTGACATAGCACACACAAGGCTGAGAAAAAGATGTATATATTTTATTTTACATTAACTTTAAACAGATGGACGGAGGATCTAAAAAACTCTGTTAGCTACGATGTAAAAATAACAGTTTTAATATTTTACATAAGAAGTGCTTTTATGCTATTGAATGGCAAGGAGACTTGAAAAGGCTGAGGACGTTAAGATAAACATTACCATATTCTCAACTTCGGCGCTTTGCCTGACGCACCACTGGAACATCCCCATCAGCGTGAGGGCGTAGGACAGTGTCAGGCCAACCTGCCCAGCATCCAAAGCTAAATGAGGAAAAAGGAGGAGGATGGATAAAGTCAGTCCCTTTGTTAACCTGGAGTCTGGCTGCGTCTGTCACTTTACCAAGAAGACTCCTTCGAAATACTGAAACGTTTTGCACACAATAACGGTAAGAGCTACACTCTTAGTATCTGTTGATTGAGACCATGATATCAAAACGAACAAACAAACAAACAAGAAACCTATGAATTCACAGGCGCTACTCAATGAGTTTGTTAGTCCCAACAGAACTGACACACACTTGGCAGAATGGCACAGCGAGGAAGTCGTAATTTAGACTCTCCTCATTAGGTTTCAGGTACCATTATGCCATTTCACTTACTAGGTCCGAGGCCATGGCAGTTGGAAGCCCCTAGAAACAAAGCAATGGGTACTAAAAGCTAGTGCTTTCCAATCTAAAACATGGCTCTCATTGTTCCATCATCAAATACTGTGATGTGGTCATGCAAATCAATTCCAACCTGACACATGGCAAATGCTTCAGTACAAACTCACCAGGACCAAACAGTACACAGCATCAGACAAGGTGGCAAGAGCTTAATTTAACACTTGTAAATACACATCATAATCATGCCACAAATGGTGACTTCCCTCTGTACTTACTTTTTGCCAGAAGCAGGGACCCAAAGGTAACAACAGTGACAAAGATGGCGCAGATTGCATCCAGACGCACGGCGAACCATCGGGATGTGGTCAAAAACAAGAACCAAGCTTCTGATATGTGAACCACAGTGAGCACAACAAAAGAGCACAAAGACCACGTTAACTGCGTCGAACGAGGGGAAACGTTTGGCTCCGCTGAGCTGCTGAAGACGTCTACACAAAGGACGGCAGCAATGCTGCCCATCCAGGGAATGCGATGATTCCAGGAAGCTGAGTGTGATGTACTTAGGAATCAGCACAGTGGCTGTGTCGGGGGCGGGGGCTGAAATTTTTCAGCCCCCGGGTTATAAAGAGAAATGCAGTCGAACTACAGGACGTGGAAAAACGGCCTCAGCAGTGCACTTCTGGCAGAGCAAGGCCTCCACGGGAAGGCTGTCCGCCGCTCTCCCACAGCAGGGAGTGCAGCTCCTAGTCTGTTCCAGCACCTTCCACACCCACGACAGGGCCCCGCACCCAGTGTCAACTCCTTAGGAGCCTGTCTCTAAATGGCCATCTCACGAAAGGGATCTTGCCTGTGGCTTTCGAAGGGCCATTTTCTCTTCAAAAATACGATAAAGATTGGAAAGATAAGCCAGGATTTTACAGGCAAAGAAGCAATTCTGAAATTTCTACGTAGAAAAAAAGCTTCGTTGATTCAAATAATAATAGATGTCAAATGGGTGGCAAATCTGATCACTGAGAAACTGAGTCCCTTCTGCCACCCCGCATGCTCTGAAAAAAGAGTTGGCAACCTATGGCCTGTGGGTTAAGAATGGCCCGCCACCTGTTTCTGTAAATAAAGTTTTATTGGAACACAGCCATAGCCACTTGCTGATGTATTATCTTTGCCTATATTTGTGCTACAACGGCAAAGGTGAGTAGCTGCAACAGCACCGACATAGCACCCGGAGGCTAAAGTATTGACTCTCTGGCTCTTCACAGAAAGAATAAAGGGTGCTGAGTCCTGCCCCAAAGGGACAGAGAGTCACAGGGTCTGGTGATGGAAGGATGGCGCAAGCCAGTCAGGGGAAAGAGTGCCGTGGTGTGAATGGGGACAGGAGTCACGCCAAAGGGCAGGGGAGGAAGGGGAGGAGGTGCAGAGACAGGATGCGGGGCTGGCCTGAGGGAGAGCCCGCAAGGCCACCCGAGGGGGCGGCGAGCCTCGGAAAGCAGCATGTCCCCTGCTTTGAAACGGTTTCCAGAGACTTACGGACCTGAATGCAAATCCTGGTGGGCGTCAAACAGCTCCTGAAAGCGCTCTTCAGTTTTGTAGGCCCGGATGGTCCAGAGTCCCTGGAGAGAAGACGATAAGTGCGAAAACACCGGGCTCCGCGCTGGGGAGGCAGAGAAAGGCCAAGGTCAGAGCGAGTCAGTGGGACTCGCGCAGAGGAAAGCAGCTGCCCCCCTGCCCTGGGGTCGCACGTCCCAACAAACAGCACCGCCAGAGCATCCCAGCGGGGCTGCCCAGGGGAGAAGGGACTCCGCCACTTCTGGAGAGGACTCTCCACGTCCGCCTCAAGCCCCTGACCACACCACGCTTCCCTTTAACGGCCTGGAAATAAAAGCTGCTCCTTGAGCCTATCACTGACCAGATTCCAATCGCAGCTGGACTTAGGCAACTAAATTCCCCTTGGCTAACCCACCCATCGGGGGCCTCCGCAGACAGGGCTCCCTTCCCACTCTTCACCGACATCCCTCCGGGCGGGCATTATCGCTCACCCGTTTGTGAGTCAGCTGTGTCTGTACAGTTGATTCTCTGTTAGCACACCGCACCGAATTATGGTTAGCTATCTATGTGTCTGTCACCACCTTAGGTTATGAACTTGAGGGCTGGGACAAAGTCACTATATCCCCAAAAGTGGTAGGGTGCCCGGCCAGGCCAGGTGCACGGTAAGGAAGGTGGCTGGCCGCTCTGCTGCACCTCTGCCTCCTGGTAAATCGACGGGTGCCTGCTGGTGCTCCACCGGCCTCTGTATGGGTCACTGCATCCTGGGTATGACACTCCCCTTGTGCTCCAGCACCTGCGCAGCCAGGGTGTCTTTGAATAGTCTTAGTTTCAGCTCAAGGAGCCGGTCAATGTACCTATCTATGCAAAGCCTGGTAGGTGTCCCAGTTCTTGTAACTGCCCTGCTGGACACCTGTCCTGTGGCAATGACATCACCCTTTCACAACATGACTGGTCTTGGTGGCCATTCTCTTTTGAGTCGCTTCACGTTGGGTCTGCAGCCCGCTGTCACACGACCGGCTGTCCCCCCGAGAGCAGCCTGTGTGCGGGCCCCAGCGTCTGGCTCCTGCGTCGGGAACCAGAGGGCTGCGTGCCGCTGCGCAGGCTGTGAGCTGGGCCCTCTGTCTGCAGTGAGGAATAATCTCTGTCTTATCAACAGCAAGCGCTCACATAGAAGCTTGTTTCCTCGGCATCTCCTAGAGGAAGCCTGCTGGTAAAATCTGGGTGTGCGGAGGAAGGCGAGATCACTCATCTTATAGCAGGCAGCAGAGACTTCATGAAAGGGCAGGGAATAAGAATCAGGGAAAAACTCAAACTTGATTTGAGGGCCTCATTCCTTAGCCCGCCACCCGAGTGTCTGTCTGTGTGTCAGGTCGCTCCGTACTGACGTGCATGTGGGCACTGCACGTGCGTGCGTGCGTGCGTGTACGGGGAGCTGGGGGTGTGTTATGCCTCGTTAGCACCCACACTTCTACAAGCAAGGAGGGGGCAGGCTTCCATGTGTGACACCGGCGTGCTGGGCTCTGGGCTCTCTGACCAGCCACACGGCCTTGAGGTTCATTCCTAACTGGGGCTCCCTTGGGGCCCTAAGCTGTGACAGCGCTTAAAGGAGGAAAAAAACCCCAAAACTTCTCCAAACTCATTTTTTCTATTTATCCTACCGAGAGAGTGCTAAGAGCCCGGCATCGGACAGTGCAGAGAACTCACTAGAACCATGCTCTCTTGTGCAGAGCAAGTGTTGCAACATCAACTATTTGACCATAGACAGTTCTTCAGCTTGGACATCCTCACTTGCTTCCCTCATCAGGAGGACAAAGCGGCAGTTCATTATCCCAGAGGGTCCACTCTGTAAATCTGGGGTCATCTGGATTTGAACACCAGGGCACCCAAAGAACACGTCGCCGACTTGACCTCACACTCGAGGGCTCCAGCAGCACAGCAGGACTCCGGACCTGTGCAAAGCCACCTTCTCTCTGCCCCACCCCACCGAGGGCCAAGCGGGGAGCCGGGACGGGTGAACTGCAGCGTTTGCAAAGAAAATTCGCTGGCACAGAGGGAGGGGGGACGCTGGGGGCTCCGGCGCACCTGGCCTGCTGCCGTGGCCTCCTTCCCACCGACCAAGCTGGCCATCCTGTGACACCCACAGCGCCAGCCACCCATCCCAGGCACATGTAACCCTACATTTCACCAGACTGACAGCGGTGTTTTCCATGACCCCGAGGACCCTCTGGGACATGGAGTTGCAAATCTTCCCTGGCAAGGGGGAAGGCAGGGAACTGCGTGCAAGGACCCTGTGCTGATGGCCTCGCTGCAGGTTGTCACCAGTGCTCTGTGAGACCTGCTGGCTGTCACGTGCTCACCTGCCTCAGGTTCAAGGTTCCCATGCCTTTGGTAGAAGCCAGCAAGCACTTTTCAAGCCTCCACTCCAGTAATCCTCACAAGCACTCCAGGGGTGGGGCACTAAATCCTCAACAGAGTGAAAAACAGACGGAGGGATGAAGGTCGCTGCCCGAGATGGACTCAGTCAGCCCAAGTGTACAGTAGAGCTGAAAGACAGACCCAACTTTGGCTTCTTTCCAAGGTGGTGCTTTCAATCGCAGCCAGGGTATCTCAGAGAGCGAATAATCGGGGTGAAAGATGCCCCAATGTGACTAAGTGGACTTTTCTCCAGACTTTGCGGTTTATCTTTAGAAAACCCTAAAATCTTAATCCAACAGCCTTTCCCATTCGTGCACGTGTTAGGAAGCATCTCAGGTCGAACCAAGCGTCTAGGAGTCTGCAGGAGAACTCTGAAACAGCAGACCTGAGGATCGGGCCTTGAAAACAGGAGGCGCACGTGTTAACACCCCCCAGCGATGCCCGTGGCAGACGCTGCTGGAGGGACCTTCCAGACCCTTCCAGAAGGAACCTGAAGGTGGTGTCATCATTCAGGTATTGCTAAGTGAGTAGCGTTGGCTAGAGAAACACAACCACATGCCATCCTGCCTTTCTGCCCTTCTCTGCAACCGACCGTTGCGATGCTCACTGTTGCAAAAAACGAAAAACCACTAGGATCAACTACAGATTTGTCATTAAGACAGCTTCAGTGTCAGTCCAAGGTTCCGGAGCCAGTTAGGCAGTCATGACCCAAAAATACACCTCGGACTTGAGTGGTTCCTCAAAGCACAAGGATGAAGCAGCTTTGTGCCTTCCGGCCGTTGCAGTCGGGTGTCCCGCTTTCTGCTGGCAGCTCCAGCAGTGGTCTCAGGAGGTGCTATCAATTACTGTTTACAGGACACAGGGCAGTTGTTATTTATGGCGCAGACCACCCTGAGAGATAACAATCAACAGTTCTAATCAACTGGCCCCTACACTTGGTTACCTGGGTGCGTGGAGGAAAGAGTACCCAGATTTAACTTACTGTCCCAGTCTACTGAGGTGCAGGAAAACCCAAACATTCCATAGGGGCCACGCCAAGGTTCCCAGAGTCTCCAAATCAAACAGTGAGGAAACACTCTTACCGCCTCTTGAAAAGAGTCTCGTGCCCCTTTGCCTCCACTTCCATATGAATGGGAAGTGGCCCTGGCCCCAAGCAAAAGTCTCTCTCAAGTGTCCCTTCGGGAACACAACCTTCTTTAACGCACCGGAGACCTCCTTTGCAGCAAGACAGTTGAGTGACTCCATCTCATGAGTGGCCTCAAATCGTAACAGGACTGAAGCCTTGTTGTCTACATGAAAGAATGGTTGAAGCTTATCCCTTGCTCTGCCCTCTCCAAATCCTATCATCGCGACAAGTCATATCAACAGAATGTCATTCACATCTAGATGCCGCTGCTCCGCCATCCCATTCAAACAGCTCAGAAAACCAAACCTCACAGTAGGTTAGCTGGTTTTCTGGGTGACTGAAACGTTTTCTATAGCTTTTATGAAACTGTCACCCACTAGCCTTTATGCAAATACTTAGGACAAATGCTTCTCCAGAGTTTATCATTAAAAAAGAAACACCCATTTGCAACAACAAAAAACTCCTTTATCCTGATGAGCCTGTCTTTTTCCACTTGGTAGCCACAGAGGACCATGAGAATCAACGTTTTGCCTAGCTTCCAGAAAGCTAAGTTGGTATTAGTTTGCAGTAACTATCCATAGCTGGGGTTTCTGATACAAATATCTTCCTTCTTTATATGTTTTGGCTATCATCCTGGTAGATTTTTAAAAAATAAATTACTATCTATTCTCCTTATAATTTTTTTGTTTGAAGAATTAAATCTGTGCATCAATGAAGTAAGCTCCAAATCAGTCCATCCTCTGTGATCACCTGTAGAACAGAAGGATCAATAACAAAATACTTCCCTTTCCCTATTATACTAAAGCTAGGAAGCTGACGAGAGTACAAGACAAAACTGATCTCTCTCCTGTGTTCCTCCAAAGGGGATGATTTTCAGCACCCATTCATACGAACAGCCCAGGGGGAAAGAACGCCTCAGTGTAGCACTACACCAAACACTGGTGACCACAAAGACCGAAACGGAAAAAGACAGTGCGTATGTTTTCAAAACATTTAACAGCCACAACTTCCAGGCCATTTCCGGAGCCTGTGAAAATAATGTATTTTCCACATGTCTCTCTTCTGACACATGAGTGTACTTCTTGATGCCTCCGTTCCTTTCCCTCATCTTTTCCTTTCCTTAGTCATTTCTAGTAAATTTGGGGGTGGGGGGACATTCTCTGTTCCCCATCTATATTAGTTAAAACATAATGAAATATTTTATTATCTGAGAAAAGCATGTTTTGTCTGCTCTGTATTGGGAAGCCTGTCATGACCGGGACAGACGTGGTCCCTGCCTCAGGGTGCTCACAGTCCCGCGATTATTCCTCCACATGCATCCTCTGTTCTTGCCCTGTGCATTCAACTGAAAGCAGCACTTAGCAGGACACGAATCTATTTGCCTCAGAGGCCACGCTGACGAACGGTGGTTTTAACATTCAATTACTGGACGCTCACTGGGCGAGACACGTGGGAACGCAGTCTGCAGAGTTTAAGGAGCGCCCTCATCCTGACAAGGATGGACACGAGCTCACTTCCCTAGCCCAGCACGCAAGCCCCAGCACTCACTCGTCGATTCCAGGCGTTTGACGTCTCTTGATGTTTCTAAGAAATAGCTCCGAAGAATGAAGAAAATGATGCCAAGGGCCACCAGCGGTATCGCGATCCAAGGAATCACCGCCACCGCTACACCTATCACACCAATCACTTGTAGAAATGTCTGAAACAGCGAAAATAGAGACAGAGGTCTCCTGTGATATTGTGGTTTATAATAAAAATATATTTGGTATTTGACCCCATTTCTGGCACAGGGCTCCCAAAACCCTTGGCATTTCCTAAGTGTTGAGCGGTATCTGGGTGTGTTTTGTTACGTTAATGAAGTAACTTTAGGAAAGCACCCAAGGATCTGAACTGGTTGCCAATGAAGCCAACCTATGGTCAGAGGATTGAAACTTGGCGCCCCACCTTGATATCCAGGGAGAATAGAGGGGCTTGAGGTTGAATCAACTGCCAATGATCAATGACTTCCTCAATCATGACCATATAATGAAGCATCCATAAAACGCCTCAAAGACAGTCCCTTGCCCTTTTTTTTTTTTCAGAGAGCTTCCAAGCTGGAAAACCAGAATGCTTTGCCACTTTGATGAGCCCCAAGTTCCACAGGGACAGAAGCACCTTGAGCTTCATTTAGGACCTGGCCCTGTGTATCTCATCTGGCTATTGATTCATATCCTTAATAGGTTTTGTAATAAATCAGTGATCTAGTGAGTAAACAGGTCTTCTGAAGTTTTATGAGCTGTTCTAGCAAATTAATCAAACCCCAGGAGGGGGTCATGGGAACCTGTGATTTACAGCCAGTCAGTCAGAAACACAGGTAACAACCGGGCTTGCAACTTGAGTCTGAAGTGAAGGGTGGTCTTGTGGGACTAATCCCTTTACCTGTGGAATCAGATGCTATCTCAGGGTAGATAATGTTAGAAATGAGTTAAATTCTCAGACATCCTTCTGGCATCCAAGAATTGCTTGTTGGTGCTGGAAATGGGTCCAGGGACCCTTTTCATTTCCTTATCAAGAATTCTTGTCAAAAATAGATTTAATGAGTTGTTTTGTCAGGGTTAAATCTCTTGCTTCCAAAGAGTTGTTGCAAAAGCAGGAAATGCTTTCCCACCCAATGAAATAACAAAATCATAGGGATGGCCCTGATGATATTTACTGAATGCCCAACATGCCAATAAGAACTTTCTAGGAATTAGCCTTTTTGATACACTCAGCAGCCCCATGCCATAGGCATTGCTATTTTCCTTATTTAACAGATGAGAAAATTTGAGACTCAGAGGAGGGTTAAGACTTGAATCCCAAACTGTCATGAGTCAGTAGCTATTGCTAGGGAAATCAGCAAGTAGACCTCACAGATGAGGAATCAGGAGATTCAGCTATAAACATAAAGAAGTGGTTAACTGCAAATTTAATACTCAGAAAAGGAGGTAAAAATTAGTTTACCTTTGGAAAGGGGGTGGTCTGCTTTCTTGGTTTTCTCCCTACAGTTAATATTGACTGTGCGCTCACTGTGTATCTACCTGGCTGCACAGTAAATACTTCACACGCATTAGCACATTTAATCCTCACAATAGCCTTACTTAGTACTATTATCTCATTTGACAGATGGAGACACTGAGACACAGGAAGGGGAACTTGACCCCCACAGCAAAGCCTACGCCAGGGAGCCCATGTTGCCAGCCACTGTGATGTATGTGAGCTGACCCTAAGGTATGGCCAACTTTCTATTGCCCTGGAAAAAACCTTTTGACTTACTGGAGCCTCCTAATTTGCCTGTGATTTTCCCTGTCACACACGCTGCCTGCTGTGAAAACACGGTCGGACGGTGGGGACAGGCAGCCGCACACTGGCATGGGCCTCTGAGGTCTGACCGACTGCCCAAGGCACAGGGCACTTCAGAAGCACAGGGAAGAACACTGACGCCTGCGTAGACGGTCCTAGGAAGAAACTTATGACCAAATTTCACAGGCGTGTTTAACCAACACGGAGAGCGGCATGAGTAATTTGCAGGTGGCAATCGCCACTGATGGAACTTCTGACCGAGGAGAAGCCAGGCAGCCAAAATTCCCACAGGTTCTTTGGTGCCATCCTGGCACCGGCACCTGCATCTTCGACCTGCCAGCCCAGGGCCCTGCCCCGCGTGCCGCCTGGGGCGGCGGGCCCGGGCGCCATCTCCGAGGGAAGAACAGGCAAGGTAACCCTTTCTCACACTTAGCTTATCCTGTCACAGCTCTTCCGAATCAGTTTTCTCAGGGATCCTCACAACCACCTTGTGAATGAGCGAAGAAAGACGTGCCATTTCCATGTACCGATAAGGAACCAAGTCGCTGGGAGTGTGAGCGCGGGCCCGGCTCTCCCTGGAGGTTACTAGGTATTGTGGAGAAAGCCAGGGGCGCACAGTGCTCTTGGCCGTCTAGGAGGAGGATGGAGGATGGAGGAAACGCCCAGGGCTGAAACTCTGTGGCCAGGAGCCCTTGGAATCAAACTGCATTATCTCGATGCAGAGCCCTGTGCTTTTCCTGTTCCTTCCCGTCAGCACTGTGGCTACAGAGCCCGGAGGCAAGAGGAATGGAATTCTGAAGGCACACATTTCAGTATGACAGGGGAGGAAATGGGGCTTTCCCTGTCCTTCCTGTTAGGCCTACAGCTCAACAAGTCCTTATAGACACTGGATTAACTGATGCATCCCACCCTGCTACACCCATTAGGAAACAAGCTTCTTCCTTCCTGCTCTGGGGAGGGGACATTCCAGCCAATTCTATGTCTGGTCTTAAGGGAAGTAGCTAGGCTCGCCATCAACTTGTTACAGGGGAAGATGATAGCTGTGGCTTTTCTCTGGTTGTTCTATCTAAAGCCTATTTTGTTTGACCATGCACTTCTGAGATAAGAAGGACAAGAAACCTCAGGCGTGCTACAATGTCTGACCTCTCCGTATTTTTCTGCCCAACTCTAGGCCCTCCAAGATTGACAACCTCAGGAAACTGGAGGCAACTCAGCACTGTTTGTGAGGTTACTTTTCTTATTCCATGTCCTTTTTCTTCTTAGGAGAAAGCCTTGCTTCTTACTGAAGACATACCTGCCTTTGCTATTGCTGAGTGTTCAGGGAAGGGGAAGAAAAAAGGTGGTGGATCTCTGAAGCAATAAAGCCAAACCCAATGCCTGCCTACCAGTATTTCGTATTTGCAAAAGAGAGACGTTTTCTGTTTTGTGCATCGTGACCTGGTGTTGCTCTCCAGGGAATTACAAAAGCTCGAGTTTGCACTCCGTGGAATCTGAGGAACTTCAGCTGTGTCCACTCCAGGTTGGCCTTCCTGCTAACCAAGCATCCTGATCTGAAGTCAGGATGCCTAAGGTAGGGACCCGTCACCACCTACGCAGGGGCTGTCTAACAGGTACCTCTTATTCGCAGAAGCCTTGCTGTCCTTTGAGCAGCTGTTTGTGACAAACCACACAGGCGTCTAAATGACTATTGATAAGGAGTACAGAAGCAAAATGGGAAAGTGCTTATGAAAAATGTTAATGACTGCGGTTAAAAACCTGCCTAGTCAAAAACATTGAAAAATTGTATTGCTGTTTTATTGCTGGAGCCTAATGGTAAGTTTCCTCATAATACTGAAGCAGTCCCACAATTCTCTTAGATCGAATTGACAACCGATGAAATGTTGATTACCCTGCCCTCCCAAATGCTAAGGGTGGATAGTGTTTAATGAGGCTTCCCGTGTGTCCAACCTGTTGAGCATTTCACATGCCTTATGGAATCTCTTCCTCACATAAGATCTTCGGAGGGCTTATCTCCATTTACAAAGCAGGACACTAATGCTCAGAGAGGTTTAGTAATTTGCCCAAAGTCAGATAAATTCAGTCATTTTTGACCCCAAGCCTGTTCTTTAAATCTCTGCATAATATTATATCCCATATACATTTGTGATTCACATTTGAAAAAAATTAACATCTAAATTTGTTCCTATTTTACATTATTTTCCCTTTTTTCCTGCATTTTCTAGTTTTGTTGGGTTTCTTGTGGTTGTACTTGGTCTCTCCCATGAGGTAACCAGTCCTAGACTCCCAGTTAATTAGGGAATAATAAGTATTCTGTTCAGTTCATAGAGCAGAACTGATCATTAAACGATCTTCAAAATGTTTGCTAATAGAACACACTAACAGGTGTTAATTTAAAAGTTATTATTTAAATTTTTTTAAAAAAATTTCATAAGAGAGATGAGTTCTAAGCCCAGAAAGCAAAATGACTTGAAGGGGGTGAAAAAATAAAATAAAAAAGGTCCAAATTTAATTTTAATAAATACATAAACCCAAGGACTTAAAAGGAGGTTGAGTATTTTACATGCTCAATATCCATATTTGGATGGTGGAAAAAACATTAAAATTTCCCTGGGAAGTCTCTGCCTCTAGAATGAACATTGCATTCTAATATTACAGATTTTAACATATTCCTTTCACAAGTATAATTTTAAATACAAAGACCTGTTTGCCTGTTTGGCATTTAACTACCAAACTGCTTACAGTCCTGTAAGAATTCCTAGGTATCTACCCACAATTTACTTTAAACTTAATTCCATGGGATTCTGTTCCTGCTAGTCTTTGTGAAGCTTGTGCCAAAGAACATGTTTTCTATAAACAGCAGTAAAAATGTATTCTTCTTATTTTATGCAAATAAATATGTCATCCATACTTTTGGCTCCATTATTATTTGAACTCTTCCTTGCTTGCATACTTCTATTAGACACAAAGTAAAATATGTATTTAATCATAAGGCCACTTAATCGGTAGACAGTGCTTTTATTATTTGTTTCCAGTATTAAAAAATGAAATCAGGATCATTAAGATTGCGAACACCTCAAAGGGATTTCCAAGCTTTTAAATCTGCTGTCAGTCAGACTCTAAAGAATTCTGTTCCAAGCTGTGATAAATCCAAATCATCCAGATTGCCTTAAACTATTATTGATTTTGGAAAAGATATGACTTAAGTACAGTAAACAAAGCAAGATTCACTTCTTGGCTAGAAAACATGTCAAGATTTTCTTCTGATTCATAGAGAGAAAAAATGCCTAGCTTTTTGATCAGTAAGCTGTTTACTGATGTGGGTGTAGGAGAGATTCTTCTATCTATTTATTCTGGAAACATATAAGATAAAAAATAACCTTC